GGATGAGAGAGGAGGTTGGTGGTGTATTTGTTTGTGCTAGAAAGGACTTTGGCCTCGTCGTTCGGACTGGTGCAAATGTGGATAGTTTAGTTTTCTTCTTGGACTTCTTCATACAAAGATTTTGTATCTAGAACTTTATCAGTCGTCGTTTTCCTTCGAGTTCGAATTTTGTTCGATTACTAGAAGAGCAAGACGAAGATGATGCGTCCTGATCACCAAAATAAGGTATCTTTCTCTCTCTCTGGAATTTTTTGGGCTTTTTCAAGACCTGGGTTGGGGTTATCATCTTCCATTTGACTGCTAAGAGAATGTGTTCGGGAATTTGAAAGATATCATTCAAAATTTAATGGATTTATGATTTTCTTTAATATTATTTTATTGGGTTTTGTAAGCCTGAATTTTCACCATATTATCAATGCCTGTAAGACTAATACTAAGCCCAGTTTGGTTTTTTGGTGGCATTTTTTTTTTTCCAGTTTCCTGTTTCTTGGGTGAACTGTTCAATTGCTATTTCTATTGTGTTTTCTGTTGATGCTACTGTTTTTGTAGTAATTTTTTGAGCTATTTATCTTGTTTTGGTCACTCTTACAAGCAGAATGGTTTAATTAAAGAATGTGCTTTGGATATTCTTTTTATGTGGTTTTGGTCAGATTGTGTTTTATTGTTTGTTTTCTGTTTCTTTGTTGTGGAACTGCATTTCAAAGCAAGGAATCTAGTCTTTTTATAACTGTACTCCACCATAGCATACTGTTTTACTCTGCTCCCTTTTCTTCTGGCACCTGATTCTATTACTTTGTTGGAGGGCCGTATGAGTATAGTTATCACAATGTATGTCTTTGGTTCCTGTTTGAACAGAACTGGTGTCTTGGTAACTCTTTAACATAACTCTTCAACTGAGATACGTGAATGAAACCTTGACCTGAGGAAGAAGCATTTGTTATGAAATAATTGGTGCTTTTGTGATCTATCTTAGGCTATTTTTTTTTTCGGATCATAAAAAATTTGCTGGATTTTTCTGCTTACCACCTAGTCTGTCATAAAACTTATGTTATGACATTGTATTTTGTTGTACAAAAGGAAGTTAGAATTTGTTTGATTTTTGAAATTTATGTGTATAATATATGCACGTGTTTTTCTAAATGTATTCTTTCTATTTTTCAGGAGCTGAAAGAGATGGACTTTTTCACCGAATATGGTGAAGCTAATAGATATAAGATTCTCGAAGTCATAGGGAAGGGAAGTTATGGGGTTGTTTGTGCAGCTATTGACACACATACTGGGGAGAAAGTTGCAATAAAGAAAATACATGATATCTTTGAGCACATCTCTGATGCCTTTAGGATCTTGCGTGAAGTTAAGTTGCTTAGACTTTTAAGACATCCTGATATTGTTGAAATTAAGCGGATCATGTTGCCACCTTCAAAGAAAGAGTTCAAAGATATTTATGTTGTTTTTGAGCTCATGGAGTCAGATCTTCACCAAGTTATCAAGGCTAATGATGACTTGACCCGCGAACACCTTCAATTCTTTCTTTACCAGATGTTACGTGCTTTGAAATATATGCATACAGGTGACTCTCCTGTTTTTCTCATTTATGCTCATTGTTCTTTATTGGTTTTTCCCATAAATTGTTAAATTTCATAAATAATGTGTTTAAATATCAAATGTCTCCATAGTTGTATTAATTCTTCAATGGTAGATATATTCTCATTTTAGTTTTTTATTATTTATGGAAACCCAAGAGTGAATTTCATGATTAGGTCTGCACTATGACCTAAGAATTAGTGTTTTGGTTGCAGCAAATGTGTATCATCGAGATCTTAAGCCAAAAAATATACTGGCAAATGCAAATTGCAAGCTCAAAGTTTGTGATTTTGGACTAGCAAGAGTTGCCTTTAATGATACTCCAACAACAATATTTTGGACAGTGAGTCATTTTCAATCTCCAATTTCCTTTAACAGAATTTTATTACCTGTTAATTGTTTCAAACCTGCGCAATAAATAATGGCATTGATGTTGCTTCTTTGATGCACTTATAGGACTATGTTGCTACAAGATGGTATAGAGCTCCAGAATTATGTGGGTCATTCCTTTCCAAGGTATGCCTTTTCTAACATCAGTGACTTGTGTTCAGATTTCAGAGCCAATGCCAATATAAATAGATCATGCTCCTTTTTTTTTTTGGAGGTGTTGTTATGATGCTGTATGGTTTGTTATTGACCTTTCTCGTCTGACAGTCTCTTGTGGCGTTGCCTAAATACATTTATTTTCTACTTGTTTTAAAATGAGTTTACTTTTGAAATAAGAAGTTTGATTGGCAATTTAGAGCCAAATAAGCATTGGAAATTTACTTGGCTTGACATAGATGAAATCATGCATTTATTTCTGTCTGGAGTGTTTTCTCTTCTGAGTGCTTTATAGTAAGCAGTAATACTAGATTATAATAATTCTTGTTCAGGGAGGACTATTGAATTCTCCTGGAAGTTGTATCTGTCAGTCAGGTAATTGAGTCAGGTTATGTCCGTTTCTCTGGAGTGGTTCAAGTGCTTCATGAGCTTTCTAATTCTGGTTCGATGATCTGATTTTTGCTTGCTTCTTGTATGCAGTACACACCTGCAATTGATATATGGAGTATTGGCTGCATCTTTGCCGAGGTATTGACAGGGAAGCCATTGTTTCCGGGTAAAAGCGTTATTCATCAATTAGATTTGATCACTGATCTCCTTGGAACACCTCCGCTCGAGACCATCTCTGGAGTATGTGCCATTTATTCCTCTCTCTCTCTCTCTCTCTCTCATTCAGTCTCTCACTCACTCAAAAGCACACATGCATATTGGTGAGTATTGCTGTTTTTTCTCTAGTTACTAATGCTATGGCTATTTCTTTACATTCAGGTTAGAAATGAGAAGGCAAGGAAATACTTGGAAATGCAGAGAAAACCTCCTGTGCCATTTACACAAAAATTTCCTAAAGCAGATCCTCTAGCACTGCGCCTATTACAAAGGCTATTGGCTTTTGACCCAAAGGATAGACCAACTGCTGAGCAGGTTTGTGCCAGATAAAGATTTACTAAAAATGCATCTAGCAAGTAGATTTGGGGAGCTTGTTCTTCTCTTTGTTTAACAGAGGTGGACTAAAACTTTTTCTCTTGTTTTACACAGGCACTAGCTGATCCTTACTTCAAGGGTCTAGCCAAAGTTGAGAGAGAACCTTCTTGTCAGCCTATTTCGAAGATGGAATTTGAATTTGAAAGGCGTAGAGTCACAAAGGAGGACATCAGGGAACTAATTTACCGGGAAATACTAGAATACCATCCTCAGCTACTTAAGGACTACATGAATGGGACTGAAGGCACAAGTTTTATGTATCCGAGGTTGAAATTTTATTTCTTAACAATCCTATCACAGTTTTTCGTCATATAGAGTTTGCTGTTTCCATAATATTTATAATATTTCTTCAATGCAGTGCAATAGGCCAATTCAGAAAGCAGTTTGCTTATCTTGAGGAAAATGGTGGGAAAAGTGGACCGGTTATTCCTCCAGAGAGGAAGCATGTCTCCCTTCCACGGTATGTTATTTTCAAGCTCCTTTTGGTGTTGGTCAATGTTAGTCTTGTGCTATCATCAGGTAAAAATGTTGATTTTGGGATTTTTTCTTTGATTATCGATGTCCTTGTTTTCAGATCCACCGTTCACTCAAGTACAGTCCCCCCTAATGCACAGTCAAATTTGGTCTCGTATGAGAACCGACAGACACAAGAGGCTTCTAGCAGTTTTAGAGTAACGGACACAATTTCTGGAAATGCACCAAAAGTTTCAAGGCCACCACCGAGGGTGCCAACAGGTAATCCACTGCCTTGTAATAATACCTAGCTAATCTTATTTTAAGGTATGCAATTTCAAATTAGAATTGGCAGAATTTATCATGATCTAGTGATGATTTATCAATAACCCAATTTATGCTCTTTCTTTTTCTGCAACACCACTTCTTCTGACACTATTGCCTAACAAGTAGCATGTTCTGGCCCTTCGGAATATGAGTTTCAGAAGCACAAATGACTTTATTTTTGTCATTCGTATGATTTACTAGCCATGTCACGCCCGGGTTCAAATAAAACCCCAGCATGGCATAGCATATAGCATTGGTGCATCTGTTTGTTTTGTTTATGCTCTAGTAGTGTTAATAATTTTCCTTACCCTACAGCAAAACCTGGGCGAGTTGTTGGACCAATTCTTCCATACGAGAATGGCAGAAATGTGAAGGAAATGTATGATCCGAGGATGTTATACAGAAACGCAGTTCCTCCTCAGTCTGTCTCTCCACACTGCTTCTTCAGAATTCATACTGCCAATCAAGACAAGGCTGGAGTGGAGGTGCAGAGGTATGAATCACATGCTAAACTGCAACCCCAACCCGAACAGTGCAACTTAGCAGCAAAGTCTTCTCCGGGCATGGCCATTGAAGTCAATACGAACCCATACTACCCGCCACCCGCCAAAGTAGATCAATTAAACTCGATAGATTCAAAATTACTGCACGCGCAATCTCAGTTTGGTCCTGTAGGTGCCGCAGCTGTAGCTGTAGCTGCTCACCGGAACACTGGAGCTGTTCAGTATGGATTGTCTTGAGTGGGTTCAATATCAAAGAGGGGTGGTAGTCTTCATATTTGAGGAGGGTGGAGTGATTGTATAAAATCCATTTTTTTCCCTTTCCAATTGTGCCTTGTGTAATTATGTGTATGCACTATTGGGTATTAATAATAATCAAGTGTTATTTTCTAATCCTGGATGAACATTGACTAATGGAAGTTTGAGGGCAAAATCTTGAGTGTTGTCCCAGAAACTTGGTCATGTGATGAGCGCTATAGAGTGACGGGTGGAATAGACTAATGATAAAGAAATCACAAGTAAGCCACTAGGGTTAGCCTAGTGCCTAGTGGCGAGGGTGAGTGGATTCACCGGTTGGAGTAGACTAAGTCAAGGGTACGAAACCTTCCAATGTTAAATAAGTAAATAAACTCAACATTTTATTAGTGAAATTACTACTCTAAACTGTACTAAATGGAGGGAGACGGTTTAAACATGGGACACAACGGCCTTGAAAAGGAAGGCCCTACCTCTCTATATGCATGTTATTACAACTTAGGTACTTACTTGGGCATATAGTTATACAACATACACCTTTTTCTTGTCATCAGAAAGTCGCATGTAGTTGAGCAGTTCTCTACTGCTCACCATCATGCTTTATCTTCAGTTCATCAAGAAAAGACTTTCCAATAAGCTTACGTTCAAATAAGGCTTTGAAATATTCTTCAACTCCCACCCTTATATATGTTGCTGGTGTTTGTCCTGTGATCAAGCTAGAGGCCGGGCCAATTTCACCACCAAATCTAGGGCTGTGAAATGCGGCGATTGAGAGCCTTTCTTTTACAGAGTTCACAGTTGCACGATGCTCAATGCTACGATACGTCCCATTTGTTAGAATCTGCCATGCATACATGCATATAAGTAAACACTAAAACTAAAAAGTAATAGCTGCAAAAAATAAGACGCACTCACAAATTATTAGGGATTAAGCTGCATATATGAAAGATTTACATGCTTATATGGTAATATAGTCAATAAATATGACATGAATAGCACTATACTCTATATGCTCAGCAGAGTGAATATTGGTACTAAGTAGTACTGTTGGAGTAAAATTACTTTTTTTTTTAATTTTTTTTAATTTGTTCAATTTTACAAAATATTTTTTCTACCTTACAGTGTAAAATTAGTTTTGAACATGAAAAAAAAAAAATATATATATATATATATATATGATCAATTGTATGAATTCGACTGTGGGATAACATTTTCATCTATGTATCGATCTAGCAAGATAATATTCAAAAGGTTAAAGTTACCAGTGAATATCATTACCTCTAGAATGTCTCCAATATTCACAACAAATGCATCTGGAAGTGGCTTAATAGGAACCCAAATCCCATCTCTCTTTACTTGGAGACCATCCATTTCATTGACTTGTAGGAGGACGGTGAGGCCTACAGGATCAGAGTGAGGGGTCAGACCGATGACTGCCTCCGGCTGAGGACATGGAGGGTAATAGTTCATCCTCGTCGCTTGCAGTCCATCTTCAAATAACTTGGTCACTTCCTTGGCTTCCATCTGCAAAGCTTTTTCAATGTGTGATAGGATAGTCATGGCTAGGTTTTTCAGTTCCAATGAGTAAGTTTCTAAGGTCTCTCTGTATTATAAAAATATAGGTAAATTATTTGTACTTACATATTATAATAAAATGGGCTCAATAGATGTCACAATACATGAACAATAATTTACCTACAAAATGAAGTAATGGTTTTTATTCAAAATTATCTATTATTGGTACATATGTTATAATAATAAAATGTGCTCAATATAATAATGCATGTAAAATAAAGGATTATTATTTGATTAAAATATTGCAAAATACTCGATTAAATTATGGAATAGAAAATTGGATTAATGTCGATGGTTTTTTTAATAGACATTGGTGCCATAATTAGAATTCGACCATGGCGGTCATCATGAATATACACATAGGTACGTAGAGTATAGTACATTGTTGTGAATACATTCTATGAATATTTAGCGTACCTATGGGTATAGATTCCAAAGATTTAAGACAATTTACCTCATAAAAAGGCCAAATATAAAATTCTAATTCGATACCAGAGCTTAGTAAGGAATTGAATACCTAAATGCCCATAATGCACTGTATTCAGACACAAAAGGTTAATATTTTTTATAATGAAAGTGAGTCTGTATGTGGTACTCACCTGTATCAATGAGATTGTCAACAATAACGTCAGTTTTTTTTTTTTTTAACTAAATAACATTACTCTTCGATATATTCATGCATGCATTCACGTTCATATTGCACAAAATCACAAACATATATATATTTGAGATAACGAGAGGACCTGAAAGGAGAAGGGAGATTTGGAAATAGGTGAGGCCTCCTCATTTGGACAGGAAGGGTATTCAAGAAGAACATGTCAACCCAATCGAGTTTTTGGTTTTCAGAAATTATAAAGGCTTGTCCAAAACCTTCCACGTCTCCTGGCTGTTGCCAAAACTTTTTCTTCTCTTCCATGGGTAGGTTGAAGAATTCTTGAGTTTCTGTCTTCATTTTCTCCAACAAGGAAGAGCTCACACCATGGTTTACCAACTGTAAAAATATACAGAGTGAATACAACGGCCAAAAACCTACGAATTAGCGAACTCTAAAAAAATTCAGTATGCAGGCGAGGTGAAAAGCATAGGTTAGGCCTATAAACTAACAAGAAGCTAAGTTCATCAAGGAAAAGAAGAACAAAAAACTATAAATCAAATTTTTTTGTAGCTACTTAGTTTATAGCTTAACCCCTAGGCTTCCACAAACTTCCTTCATAGTATTAGAGTAGGTGGTTACGAGTGAAGTCCAACGTCCACATGTGTTTTACATCACCAAATTTGTGTTGTCCATGTATTAGGCTTAATCACTCGCCACACATGAGTGAGAATGTTGAGAGTATGAATCCCACAATGAGGAGAGAAGAACCCTTACATGTACTTATAAGTAGTTGAGCTACACCTGATATTACCACTTGATTTTACTGTGAAGTCTCAACTTTTTTCAGATCAGCCACACAATTGATAACTAAATAATTAACAAGGCAAAGCCATGAATTCCCAAAAGGGTGGGCTGGCTATTTTTCAGATCGACTTCCTTTTTGTTAACATGAATTTCAACCAAAGACAAATCAAGGGGAAGTTTAATATTGAAGTGGACTACTAATTAAGCTTAATTTGAGGTGAATTAAATATATTTAATTACATGATTACATATTAATATTATGTACTAATATTCACATAGCCAATGAAGACTAGATGATACTAGACTACTAAATGACCATCGACCAAATTCTTCGAACTCGTGGGCGAAAACAATCAGAACTATTGGATGAAAGATTTAAATGGAAAAAGCTAGTAATTTAATTACCTGGAAGAAACCCCACTCTTTGCAAGCAAAATGGAGCCTGGCTAGTTCAGCTTCAGAATTTGTTGATTCTTTGGAAAGCAATTTATGCATGTCAATGGATGGTATCTGGTCAGCAAGATGCTCAGAATTGATGTTCATGTCATGCTCTTGGTAATTACCATCTTGATGATGAGGCTGTATGTATCTGGGTGGGATTTTGACTATTGGCTTCTTTACTAATTCCTGAACACTAGGAACAAGAAGAGAACCACCGTACATACTCTTCCCGGCAGATGCCTTTTCTTCCATAGTTGGCTTTTGCTTACGCTGCATGTGCTGGGTGTTTTAACTTTTAGATAGGCCCTGGTAAAAAGGGTTTTCCACGAGATTTTCAAGACTCAGTCTAAACTCCTCCTGAAGTTGTCTTCATTTTAGGTTCCTTATCTCTTTCGAGTGTTGGAAGTGGTGTGGTGGAACTGATCATGTTACCAAGAGGCAAACGTACAGTTGGCTGCAGGTGGGTCCTTAAAAACACAAAGTTATCGATGGGCTCGTATTGTGGATATATATATATATATATATATATATATATATATATATATATATATATATATATATATATATATATATATATATATATATATATATATATTATGTTCCTCTCTCTCATTCTTGCCGTGTGTCCTATGATGACGATTGACGATCAATGATGAGGTGAATCTCCTATAAGTCTTTGCAAAGTTTCTCCTTTCGCTAATGTGAGACTCTTTTATCTTCACATTCTTACATGCCCCTTGTGTGTGGTGAATTTTCAAATCAAATACATGGACAACATGAATTGGATGTCGTGGAACATGTGTGTCCTTTGAGTTTCACACGTGGGCTAACTTGCTCTGATATCATGAATAAAGTTGGGATTCCACCATAAAACTATTTGGTAATATGTAGAGTAACCCAACATCTTATAAACCCTTACATTGTTCTTTCCCTAATGTGAGACTCTTGTATCTCTACTTTTTCACATGAGGCAACTAAGGCCCACTGGGGCAGTGTAGAGGGAAAAAAAATACAATGCTTATAGAACTTGAGTTTATAGTAGTTAGGTACTTTAACTGATTAGTTGAAATTTTCGAACAATATGCATAATACGTATCATTGTGAAAAAAATGTCTACAAGTTAGCTGAATGAAATTTATGAAGAAAAAGAAAAGCAATGAAATTATTGAAAAAAATCTACTATCATAATTTTTTTTTATCTCCAATGTAATTAGAGGTTAAGTTCGCACTCACCCAAAAAAGTTTCCAAGTCCGTCCTCTCCGGTCGATTTGTCTAGGAAGACTCGCGAGGTTGCTTTATTTGCGTACAATACTTTCTCAATTGTCCGTCACTTTCTGTTTGAACTATTAGTTGGATGTGGACCAGTCACTTGATGAAATTAAGGTTCCACCATAAAACAAATTGGTTATGTAGGGAGTAGCTCAAGACCATATAAGCACATAGCAGACCTTGTCCCTTACTGATGTGGGACAACTCTCAACACGTCTCTGCACGTGTAGCGGCTCCATTGTGCGTCACTTTCTGTTTGAACTATTAGTTGGATGTGGACCAGTCACTTGATGAAATTAAGGTTCCACCATAAAACAAATTGGTTATGTAGGGAGTAGCCCAAGACCATATAAGCACATAGCAGACCTTGTCCCTTATTGATGTGGGACAACTCTCAACACGTCTCCGCACGTGTAGCGGATTTTCAAGCCTACACGTGGATAACAATTGGGTGACGTAGAGTGATGTGGGACAACTCTCAACACGTCTCCGCACGTGTAGCGGATTTTCAAGCCTACACGTGGATAACAACTGGATGACGTAGAGTGCGTGTGGCCGTTTGGCTTCACACGTGGACAACCTTGCTTTGATACCATGATGAAATTGAGGTTTCACCATAAAACCAATTGGCTATGTGAGGAGTAGCCCAAGATTATATAAACACATAGCAAACATTGTTCATCATCGATATGGGACAACTCTCAACATCACCAACCTAAATTTGATCTAACTAGAAGAGACAGCTTTTCATAAAGGACAAGCGGTTTCTTCATTATAATTAAAAAGGAATTTTGATTATTTTTTAGTCTAATATTATTCTATATTTGTAGAGAGGATCATCGTTGGATACTTTTGATGAGGATCTCAAAATTTCTTCAATTATATTTGTTTATCGTGCATAATACGGTTAATTTTTGTCACGTACTGTTTATATTTAATTTTAAATAAAAAATTTACAATAATTTCTGACTGCACGATATACGATAAACGGATGTAATTTAAGGATCCCTAGGATCCTCACAAAGAGGCTCCTCTCTCCTCTATTTGTACAAGAAAAATGATATCAATCAAGTCGACTCACAAGAACGATGAGTTTTATATTTAATTATAGTTGACATGTTATATATGTAGCTAAATTTACCGCTTCTAATATAGTACCATACACTTTTCTCAATTTTTTTACTGTCAAACCAAATCAATTGAAGAATAAAGGATAAAAATTAACAAAGAAGTGTTGAATGTAAAAAAAAAAAGTGAAAAACACTACCTTAATAAAGAAAGAAGAAATTAAACACACCGTCAATTGAGGGATAACTGATGTTTGATCACTTGAGTTGCATGATGAGGATGAGGATCCTCACATCCTAACCATTTATCGTGCATCGTGCGATTAGTTTTCGTCAGGTACTATTTGTGTTTAATTTTAAATAAATAAAAGTCAAATGATTTCTGACCGTACGATATACGATGAATGGTTAAGACGTGATGATCCTAAAGATCCCCACAATTTGAATTCGGATGGGATCCAAATTCGCACAATGCTAATTAAAGGAAAAGCATCCGCGATCCGGCGTGGATCCTTTTCCTGGGGATCCTAAGGATCCCGTAATTGTAATCGTTCATCGTACATCGTGCGGTCAGTTTTCATTCGATACTATTTATATTTAATTTTAAATTTTAAATTTTAAATTTAGTTTTTGTTCAAGAATGATAATGATTACAGAATCCTTAAAATTTTCAAAAAAAAGAACCGGCGAAAATCATTTTCCCTAATTTTGCAGAGCCCTTTCCCTAATTAAAGGGTTGATTGAGAGGAATATAATTATATATAATTCATCGTTATTGGAGGAAATCATGGTGTATCAGAATCACAGATTCACAACCACTCACTCCATTCTACATGTGGCCCGGCACATGTGTTTATATATTAATCATGGTTAGTCTTTTAGGCCATGCTTGGTGCTTAATTAGTATTGGATTGATAATTCAGTAGATATATAATGTATACATGTTCAAACTGTTTTTTTTTCCAACCTAAAGGTGGGAGACATGCATTAATCATGAAGTCAACCTATCCCTTCTAATTTTTGTATAATATTATGATATAAAATAATGTTATATGATACATTTGAATAATTAAATAAATTCTGATTTGAATGATTAAAATATATATATATATATATATATATATATATATATATATATCTTCTAACGAAGATTAAAAAATTGACTCTGATTATGAATTTTCAGCTAAAAATATGTGTTATTAAAAGTGGTGAAATGGACATGTTCCTCTCGAAAGAGGAAAGTAAGCATTATCCTATGAACACATTTAAGTCATAACTATCCTTTAATTATTTCGTTATATTTGACTTCACAAACAAAACAACCCCAACCATTACAGTCACAAGACGCCCGGATGGATAGAAATGTCTATAGACGAGGTAGGCGAGGGTAGCTCACCAGCAAACGGTGTGTATGGTTGTCTTTTTTTTTTTGTATGAGAACATATCACTAAAGATGACATGTATCAACGTATAGAAAGCCATCGTCAAGCTAAGGGTAGAAAAAAAGATGAACTGTTTATGTTAGCACCTGTTTTTCATAATTAATTAACATACGACGACAATATATAATTAAGAAATCATTAACTTCAATACCATATTAGTTTGCACCAGTTTATTGAGATAAAAGAGAGAAGAGATCATGATCATAGTCAGCTAGGACATGATTCCCATTATTACAGAAAGAGCTATTATTAATCAAGATCCCCTTAATTATTAATTAGTTTCCCATATAATATGTGGACATATTTAAATTTAAGCCCTCTCAAACACAACAGGAAGCACTGAACCATCCAAGGCCAGCAGCCTCTTGTCATTCTCAACAATAGCACCAACAGATCCACAAATGAACCTACAAGTTGGACACACTTCAGTAGGGCACCATTCCAGATTGTACACACCATCTGGTGTTGCCTGCTTTGTAATCCTGAAGTAGTTTCTAGCACGGCCAGGAAGGCTTTGGTTTTCGTCTTCTCCGGTGCCAATTAATCTCCTTTGGGTGTCTTGATCAGTCTCACCCACCTTCCATGTGGTTGATTGCACACAGATTGTGACTGCTGAGAATGTGATCTTTTGGTCCCTTCCTTCCCTCACCACAGTTTCCCCCTCAACAAAAGGAGAAAATGTCACAGGCAAGCCCTTAGGACCTGAGACATTTTCTTGACCAACGTAAAGTGGACATAATTCAGTTCTGTTGATCAAAGTGAAACGCCCGCCATTGTCGGTAATAGCGGGTTGGATGTAGTAGTCTACACCGGATTGAAGAGCCTGCCCGGCAGTGTCAAGCACTGCATTCGAGTCATCGGATGTTTGGGCTAGGGTTGATATGGCCATGACTAGCCATATGCAGCTGCAGAGGCTCCAAATCAACTTCATAGACATGGTATATATAGTTTCGAGTAGTTTCGATCCCCTTCAAAATATCTCACAATAATATACAAACAAGAATCTGGTAATATTGTAGAATGTGTTTGTGTTTTCTTTTAGGCCATGCCATGCAAGGTATTTATAGAGAGGTGGTGAGGTGATAGTATTGGTGTTATCCATTAGAGAATTTTACTTGTATTGTACGTAAACGATTTGGTCATGGACTTTACAACCCTAAATCGGATAGAGACGTTGAATTACTGAACAAGAAGGAAAGTGTCAAAGCTTGAGATCTGCATGCAGACTTTATGATTTGGAATTTGATGAATATTAGCTATGAATTGTGTGTGTGTGTATATACAAACACACGTGGGCGGTACGCCACTTTATTTGAATATTCTTTCTAATGTAACAAGGGTTCTAATTCAGACCTATTGGTTAATTTCATCAGCTATTAGTTATGTAGATCAAACAAAAATCATTATAATTAAAGATAATTTTCAATGTACTAGAAACACGATCTGGTACACCAAATGTCAACTAATACAAGTAGTTAATTTTTTTTTTTCCAAGTATCATATCATTTGTATTAGGATATTTGATGCAATGAGCTGAATTTCCGACACACTAAAAAATCTCTTATAATTAAAGCTTTGATTTATCACATTAATTACCCTAACCACCCTATTCATAACCCTTCCAACTTGTGATTCATACTTTTCAAGAAAAAAATGAATTGACATTATAAGTGTAAACCCGCCCGCAAGAGCATGTAAACAAAGTCACTTTAGGTTTTGCCTCGAGAAAATTTTCCCTTCAAAAACAAGTTGCCTTCTAATTGCTTGTATATATTTATTTGCGTGTCTCTCTCAGTCACGTGTAGGGTGCAAGTTGGATTGAAATTTCAGATTATGCCATTAGAATTCCGCTTCAAATCTGAACATTTTCAAAAAGATTCTAATTTCAAAAATTCTGAGATAATTTCAATTTCGAATAATCTGATAAAAAAAATGGAAATTGGAGGAAGTTCAAATTCGATCTCAAATTTTTGAAATGAAAATTGAAAACCTTGTCTCTGACCCGATCCGTCCAAAGATCATCCTTAGTTACGTGATGAGAAATAGAGTTGTGAGGATATGCAGAAATGTCTTATATTGAAAGTTTATCAAAGCTTCCACATGCTTATAATATGAAGAGTTGGGCTATTATCCATATTATCAATTGTTTATGGCAAAATTTCAACTTCATGGTATTCATGCAAGTTGGCCCACTTTTAAATTCAATTGCATGATGTACTTCATGTCACCTAATTTTTGTTGTCAATGTTTTACGCTTGAAAATTCACCAGATGTGAAGGGGTGGATGTGAAGAAATGTCTCATTTTAGAAGTTTACCCACACGTATTTCATTTCATCCAATTTATGTTGTTCACATCTTAACCTTAAAAAATTTCACATGTAACGTTGAGAATGTGAGAAAATGTCCTATATAAAAAATTTACCAAACCTTTTATGTGCTTATAAAAAAGTAGGCGGAACTTCAACATCTTTTAACAACCTCAGATGCGTGTAATTAGAAGTGGAAAGATAGAACTACATATTACAGAACAAATCAATGTGTGAGCCTATTTTTAAATGCCATCAAGCACTAGTATTAGCAGCTACCACATAGTCCGACACTAGGGCTGGCCCTGGGGGAGGGCAGGTGGTGCCACCGTACAAAGGGACCCCTTTGCACTCATGTCTCAAACAAGCAATTTTGATGGACTTGAACGGATGAAGTTGAGATTTTATTATAAATTAAATTGATATTATACAATTTGGTATACTTCCAATGTAAAACATTTTTATACATTCTCACACGTCTGTCTTTCACGTGTGATGAATTTTCAAGCATAATACATTAACCAACTTACTCTATACTCTAAAGGAAGTTGAAATTCCACTGTAATTAATTGGTAACATGCCAAATGACCCAACTTTTTATCAACCTTTGCAAGATTTAGTAAACTTTCGATTTGAGACATCTCTTTACATCCTCACCGGATGCAATGAGTCCTCCTTTTGTAAGTCTTGGGCAAACGAATAACATCGCACATACTTCCCTACCCAAGAAATTTTCCATCGCTAGGCTCATGTTTTTTGACATACGTAGAAACACTAGCCAACCTGTACATTCTCATTCAACAACTGTCGCAAATTGTGATAAAAAAATAGTTAAATCATATGGTCATTAGTTTACTGCAGCAAGGCCATATGATTCAGCCATGTGTAGTGGGAGTCTCCACCTCTTAGTGAAGGAAGAGAACAAACTTGAACAGGCATAAGCAGTTGCATGGACAAGAACACGACTCATCAGTTAAATGCAAGAGCTGAAAGCTACAAATCCATTGTTCATATGCCAATGTGCCATACATGAAAACGAAAGAGATCCGAACCTAACTTTTTGACATTTTCTAGTTTCCGTGTCTTTCTTTTATCTTGCTTATTATAATTTTATGTATGACGGTTGATTTTAAAAACTACTAAGCTTACGTGGTGCGCAGACTGAATAATTAATAAACTAATTACGTCCTTCGATTATGTGAGGGGAGTGCCAACTCATCGGCCGAGCTCGGCCGGGGAGTGAAATATGTCAATGTGCATTAGGCGCACTGCTAACTTCTTGATCTTGCGACTGCAACCAAGGAAGAAACAAGTCTCGACCTTCAAGTTCTAGAGCCTAAAAACAAGCCTGCTAGTTCTGCGAAGTTCAATTTCAAATTTGACTTTCAATGTGCCGAATGTAGTAACCTAGTAACACCTTACTTGGCAAAAAAAACAGATGAGATAACCTCTACCAATAAAGATTCAAAAATCCTTACTGACCGAGACTTGATTGGCATAGCCTGATAATTTCGTAAAAACCGACAAAAACTCAAACTCGTAGAATGATTGATTTGTTGCATAGGCTAAAGCCTATCTTCATATGACTGACTTTTCAAAGATAATAAGAGCCTATCCAAGCTTGTCCCATCATAACCAAAAGCCTAGCCTACCTAGGCTTTCTTATCTCATCATAACTGCATCATCCATCCATGCATTCTGATCCCCATTTAATGAATTTCAATTTCATTTTAAATTCATTTTTGACTATTTGTCAATCTATCACCATCACCACACACCAAACATTCCAAATCAATTTGAACTGTACCGTTTGCTTAGGAATATAATCCGCATTCTATCTATCTCATTTAAGAATATACCAAGATAATTCATATTAAAAGATAATTACTATGATAAAAACTATAATATTATCCTTTAACAAAATTATTTTCATCTTTTCATCCAACGGTTAGAAACTATGCTCACTTAACGACCTTGATTGCACAAACCGATGATATAATTTTGAATCCAAACAATAACATACATTATTAAATTTAACAACTGAATGTATGTTTAAGAATCCACAAATATCTAGCAAATGGGATATCTAAGCCACTTAAAAAAGCAATGATGTATAGTGGACTCAAAGTGCAGACCACATATCTAAATATTTGGAAGACATCCTTAAAAGACAGACATGAGCATTTCCTCTGCCAGGCCTGGCGATTCGAATGAAAGATTCATAAATCAGACATCTCACACATAAGTAAACGATATAATTATTCAGATGAAACCCCACAATCCTTTTACATCTATTGCCATGAGTTGTTAAAAACTCACAACACTGTAAATACAACTTGAAATCAACTTTCGTAACATAAGCTGAAACATCATTAGAGTGGATTTCTTCGTCTAAATCATTTAGCTCAAACCTAAACCTGGGTTTCCTTGGCTAGCAGATGCTCAACATTACTTGAATTCAGCCCAAACACAACGACGATATGTTAGAGTCTAAGTAAAATGCATCATCAGTCACAGCAAGAATCAAATAAGTCGACACTAGAACCCTACAGACATCTAAAAAAAATGACAGCAACATGTAAATTCCGGACACAAAGAAAAAGCCAATTATCAAACATTAATCCATCAAAATTTAATTACTTGTACTATTCAGTCTTCTCTAGCGACAATCTTGTACTTCCCGGTTTGTTCTTGCTGCAAATAGAAAGAAACCCAATTAGCAAAATCCCCATCAAAATACGATAATCAAACTCAATAAGTTAAAACTCAAAGGAGAAGTGATTTGCAAAAAAGCACCTACCTTTTTCCACAGATCTGAGTGCTTTTTACAAAACCCAGCCACAATAGCTCCCGTATTCCTTCCTTCCTTGTACTCAATACAAAGATCCTCATTCAAGCCACAACTCACATGAAATGCCAGAGGGCACTTAAGCTCGGAGCACTGAATAGCACACCCCTTTGAACTCTCACAAACATAGCATCTCTCCTTCCACCGCCTTTTCGGAACCTTGGAGCAATCAATCCCCTCCCGGCCTTCAGGGTCCTTGAAGAACACCTCCGGGACATAAAGCGCACACACAATGTGTGCCCACCTGCCGTCTCCAGTGGGCTTCATTGCCCCTCCTTTGACAGGACATAAGCAGCAAGAACAGGACTCATTGGATTGAGAATGCACAGCAGAAAACGCGCATTGGGCGCAGAACCAATCACCTTCCGGAATACCCTTTATGAGTGGATTGCCATAGCAGGAGGCATGAACCATCAGATTACACCCATCACAAAAGACAATTGGATCTGATGGATCTCCATCTGTGCTCTGACAAACAGCACAAACAATCCCATCATCAGCATCATCTTCTTCTTCTTCATTGCACTCCCCATCCCCTGCGATTTCTTGGCTTTTCTCCTCTCGGGTATTTTCAATATCTTCATTGCAACCATTTTCAGCTTCACCCTTCTCTTCCTCCAATTTCTCCACTGCCTCTTCTTCCAGCTCCCACCCAAAAGGCGGCTTATACTCGACATTAAGGTCCAATGTCGAAAGTGGCTCTTCAGTGAACAAATCGGGCTGAAACGCCCAAACCCTTTTCTTGGCAGGCAGGGAATAGGTGGAGCCGGCAGCAGCAGAGGCGGTGGGGTCAGGGAGAACGAGTTGGTCTCTTGGCGCCTTTCGCTTCTTTGCTGGAAGGCGCGACGGGGACAAAAGGGCATCCTTCTGCTGCTGTTGCTGCATGAGTCTGAATCTCTTGAGAGGAGGCAGGCCATGAAATTTCTGATCCATTTGTGGGTCTGGTTTTTGCGAAGAGAAAATTGATTCGGTGGGGGGACTAATTGAGAGAGCTTGAGAGACTTTTTGAGGTTTTGGTTTGGGATTTGGGATTTGAAGCGAATTAAGAAATGAAAAAAATTGGATTTGTGGTGGGAACTTTGAAATTGAGGAGCTTTCGTTTTTTTTTTCGTTTTGAGTTTTTTGCAGCCGATATTTGAATTTGGCGGGGTTTCGAAATTTTTGGTTCCGTTCAATTTTGCTTTGAAAAAAACCAGCGCCCGAAGGGAATTTTGGTCCCAAAACTGGTTGGGTGAGATGTCCGGTTTTGTTGTTGGACTTGGGCTACAATTTGAGTGAAACTAAAAATGTCCTAGAGCATTTATTTTTTTTTACAAATAAGAGATAATCTACATTAAATTTATTTTAATTACGGGAAGAGGAATTCGAACATGAAACTTTGTAGATATGGGTTAGATTGGTTGACTAACATAATGTGCGTACTCCGTTGCCTCCGAGTTTGATCCCCCTTTTGGATTGGACTATTTTTAGTTTTTCTTGGTTGAGATAGAGAATGTATTTAGAAAATTAAAGAACGAAGATGATGGACGCAAGACAGGAAACAAAACTCTATTACAAATTGATTTTAGTTTTCAATTTTCATCTTGTATACTCTTTCCTAACTTCCTTCCCGCCGCCATTCCTCCACCTTTGCTCGTCCTTCCTTTACCCTTTGTATTCCCCTTTGCATTTATTATTCATAATAAAAACTAAAAGCGAAATGATTATCAAACAGACTTTAGATTACCAAAAAATCTTGCACTTCATTGTTTCCAAGAATGGGTGGGGATATTTTTGGAATTTAGGCTTGCTGTTATCTTTGAAAACATAGAAATAGGAAGACATTCATACATGAACAAATATGTGACCCTAAGTTAAAATCCACAAGTAGAAAATCAAAAGGATTCACATTGAAAGGCAAAGTAAATACAACATAGCAGAAATTGCAAATCCAACAGTTCCATCGCTAATACGCAAAGAAATTCCAACAAATAGCAGCTCATATGATAATAGAAGGATTTATGTTTGTGCTGCTCGTCTAAAGCTTCTACATGACATTTCAATCTTGCTTCTGGGTTGGCCCAGTCTGTCTCCAGAATCCTGCCAAGACACTACCCAAGATTGAATGACAAACGCTGGAAACAGCACATGGTACCGCAGTTAGAGGGTTTCCGAAGTGCTGACTGGCTAGAACAACTCCAAGCACCGAATTCTGAAACATAAAGGAGCCGATTACAACACTCATAGACAACTGCTAAAGCATGATACAAATTGACAGGCATTCTTTCTATTATATGTCTTTGGCTTATTGGCTATAGAATGAAATTAATAAACGACAGTAATGTATTTTCGCTTGAATAAATGACCGCAATATCTTTTCACTCGAAGTAATTGGCAAAAAATGAGAAGCAACTCTCTTTAAAATATCAGGGGGAAAAGACCCAATGATGCTTACCTGCATGCCAACCTCGATGGAGATAGTCCTTGATGATGCGACATCAATCCCAAGCATCCTTGAAAGGATGTAACCGAAGAAAAATCCACTTGCATGAAGAAGAGCGGCAGCTAGCACCACTTGTTTACCAGACGTAAGGATTGCTGAAGAACTCTGGGCAATTGCATTCCCACAAAGAACAGCTACAGTTGCCACAGCAATGGGTGGCATCAAAGGGGATACAAATTTAACCAGGCCTTGGAAGTACTGATTCAGAAATGCACCGGCCAAAACAGGGAGAAGCACAACCTGTGTTCAACGCATATGGTCATAAGGATTCGACGTGATCATGGAGTGCCGGCTGTCGACTACCTGACGCCCTCCCCCTCCTCCTTTATCCGGGCTTGGGACCGGCAATGTAAGATAAACTTACACGGCGGAGTTTATAACTAAGAAGTCCGCAAAACAATTGAAAGCTTACCTGCAGTGTTGAGAATAGAAGCCCAGCAGCATCCACTGCAACATACTGACCGGCAAGTTTAGCTGTGAGAAAGGGGGTCATGATCTACAATATGAAAGAGTAAAAGATGTAAGGTTCCTTGAAATAAGCTTATAGTTTTAACTCATTAGTAAGTAGTAAGTAGTAACTACTTAAAAAAATATCTCCCTAATTATGAGACAGATCTAACACTCTCCTCGTCGTTGTAAGCAAATCAGTGTAATACGTATGGCTGCGCCCAGTACTTTAAGGTCTGAGCTTTCAGCAGATCACTTTAGGTTGAGAATCGAACAGAGGACAACTTTACTCATACTTAATATTTAGCAAATCTTTTCTAAAAGGAGATAGTTTAATGCACCCCATAACTTTTAACAGGCAAACAAAATAGATATAACATAATGTTAACCAAAATATAAATTTTCTGGAGTTTTAGCAGAAAATGGGATTCAAACTTATCTTTCCAACCATTTTCAATATATGTGCTAAACTTTGCACCATACAAGTACCACCTTCACGACCAAAAACATTTCAAAAGAAATTTACATCAGTTTACCAACCACAGCTGATAAAGTGCTTGCTGCTGTCATTAAAACAGAAAGTGCCACGTTTCCACTGCAAAAACAACAAGGTCATCAGATCCTCTGGCCAGGAAGAGGGGAAAAAGACACAGTAGATTTCCGTCACCCTAGTTTTTGTAAGTTTTAGTTTCATCCCGTTTGGTCCTATTCATCTGAGCAGCAAGGTGGTATGCAAGGTGCAAGTGGAATATAGACATGTCAATGTTACAATTTTTCAATATGATTATACCCATCCAACTCACCCAAAATCTGTGTGGGGTTGGCAACATAAAAGAGTGAGATAATTACTACATGTTGCTCTCACAGTTGAAACTTTAAAACTTCAAGCACTAAAATGGAAATTTCAGCAAATTAGACGAGATAAAAAACAAGATTTGGACACAGATAAGAAAAAGGGTATTATTCTATGATAGGATAATTCATTTACCGTGCAATATAAGTTACAATGTTACTTGCTGTTCCTGCAAAGAGTTAACCGGGGAAGAAGTGTATTCAGAAAAAGCTGAGTAAACAAGAATACTTATGAAAAGACTGGCATAGATACATACCCACCTGGGCAGCAACCAACCAATATCAAACCAGCTGCATAATACGATGGCAAATTCAAAAGCTTGCTCACAAAATATCCTGATAAAGGCATCACCTACAAGTACTCACCATTAAATCATAAATGTTACAGATTTGTGCCTAAACAGATTGAAGGACACACAAAAGAACAGAGTTAGAAATGTTTGAAAGATCAAAGTTGTTGACGGTGAAGCCTAAGAAAACAAGAGGCTGAACTCTGCGGGGGTAACTAAGAGAAGTGCATCTTTGCTCCCCCCCAATTGTGGGGATGATGCTCAACCCCAATGGTTACCGTTATATTAGTCTGGTTTAATTGATCTAAGATACGAATCTCAAAGATTAAACTAATCTAATGGCAATCAATAAGGGGTGAACAAAAATGCAGTCAACTAAGACTGTTCAACAAATTTATATATTTGGAATTACGAAAATGCTGACATTCCCTTGAACTGGGAAATTAGCACAAAGGTCAAAGATTTTTTGTGACATGAACACAAATGGAAAATGTAGGGAATGGCATTCAGTACTCGATTCAATTATGTGCTAATTCAATATAAGCATTAGTCTACATATGAAATGTGGAGCTACAAACCGAGTACTGAAGAAAAAAACCGGCAAGCAACTCCTTGGGCATAGACAACGCGCCACGAAGGTCGTCGAAAGTGAGGGTCATGCCCATGCCGAGCATGGTCAGTGTAATGCCTAAGATGGTACAGTTGGGTGTGACCCAATTGAAGGAACTCGGTTTGACGAGCCCCATCAGGCACCCCAAAGCAACCCATATCGGAAATGCAGTCGACAAAGACTCGCCAACCAGTTCAAACCAATCCCTGAAACTCCTGGTCGCATTTGCATTGGAGTTGTTCGACGAAATGCCAGAGTGGAGCGGAGCTAGTGATAATCGTTCGTTCATGGCAGTTGGTATGAGTGGAAAGGGATTCGAGGGTAGATGCCATGTGGGTTTGCTGGGAAATTGTGGTTGCGAGTTGCAATGGGATCTTAGAGCGAGTTGACTAGAAGGAGAGGAGGAAGGAGATGTGTTGGTGTAGTGAGAGAATAGGAGTGAAATGGGGTTTGGTTGGAATCTGAAGCCTGTAATTCCATGGTGATATGAGAGTGACGACTGCATTTTCTCTCGATCTGTATCTGTCGCTGTCTGGTTACTTGCTTTCACTTCCAGGCGTTGACAGTGTTGTGTAGTGTGGAGGCCTGGTTTCTAACTTAGAGGGCATTTTTTATCCTTTACTTGAATCTAACTTTTTAAACTCAAAAACAATTTTTAAGTTTTAGACATTAAAAAATTTGTTTGATATGACTATTTTCAAAAACTGAACTCAAAGCTAACATAAAAAATATAGTCTATTCTCTAAAAAAAACAAAAAGTGAGTTTTTAAACTTAAATTCACTCATTTCTTTTTTCTCCCTCCTCCCCTCTCACTCCAATCTCTCTCTCTATTTTCTTCTTTCTATCGCCCCCTTCTCTTTTTTTTCTTTTTTTTTTGTCTCTTCTGCAATCCGCTCTCTTAATTATTTAGAGATGCACTACAAAAAGTTTTGATAGATTACAAAGTACACCTACATGAGCATTACAAGGCCACTAAATGACGGATTTTCAAATGGCTCCTTTCAAGCAGTCATTTACAAATTACTTGGTGCATTGCAGTCATTTCAAATGCATCAATCTAATGTTTTGCAGTGCACTCCTTCCTAAATCCCTTGGTACCATTACAATCCCTCATCCAAACACAACATTGGCATTTTGATAACCATTTCGCTTTCAGTTTTTGTTTTCACTTTTTTTAAAACTGAAAACTGAAATCTTATTTGGTAACTGCTTTTAGTTTTCAAAAATATGAAAACTAAAAACCAAAACTTGAAAACTATACGCTTGAGTTTTCAAAATTTTGCCTTAAGTTTTCAGTTTTCATCTGAAAGTAGTTACCAAACAAGATTTTAAATTTCAAAAAAGTGAAAACCAAAAACTAGAAACTAGAAACTAAAAACTAAATGGTTATCAAACAGTCCCTTGCCCAAAAACACAAACTTCTCTCTTGCAAAAAAATGGAGAAACGGTTGAACAAAAATAGTTTTTGTTTGCAATTGTGCCAGCTCCCACACCTTACCTGGTGCCTTCTGATTATAGTAGCACGCAGGAGGAGGCAATTTATGGTCACCCAACATTGCTACCACCACCAAATTAGGGATCATAGGATCGAACCACCTCGTTGTTTGTTCATTGCATTCAGATAACAGGAATCAAACCAGTCTGGCTTTAGCTTGTGCGGCAATTGGGAAATCACCACCTGAGAATATAATTCAACTTATCAAATAAATTGCATACAACACAACTCTTAGAATATATGCAAATAACGTCAGGCCAAACTTGGTTAGCACTTATGAATCCTGTTTTTTTTTTACCCCATAAACAGACAGTTATGAAACATAAAGGAGCTGATAACAACACTCACAGACAACTGATAATGCATGATACAAATTGACAGGCATTCTTTCTATTATACATACACACGTCATAAGCAATCATATGTCTTTGGCTTATTGGCTGTAGAATGAAATTAACAAACGACAGTAATGTATTCTCGCTTGAAAAAATGAATGCAATATCTTTTCACTCGAAGTAATTGGCAATGGAAAAGATGTGAACAGTCAATGGATGAAAATGAGAAGCAACTCTCTTTAAAATATCCGGGGGGAAAAACCCAATGATGCTTACCTGCATGCCAACCTCGATGGAGATAGTCCTTGATGATGCGACATCTATCCCAAGTATCCTTGAAAAGATGTTACTGAAGAAAAATCCACTTACATGAAGAAGAGCGGCAGCTAGCACCACTTGTTTACCAGAAGTAAGGATTGCAGAAGAACTCTGGGCAATTGCATTCCCACAAAGAACAGCTACAGTTGCCACAGCAATGGGTGGCATCAAAGGGGATACAAATTTAACCAGGCATTCGAAATACTGATTCAGAAATGCACCGGCCAAAACAGGGAGAAGCACAACCTGTGTTCAACGCATATGGTACATTAATATAATTTAAAACAGGAACAGTTATAATTAAGAAGTCGGCAAAACAATTGAAAGCTTACCTGCAGTGTTGAGAACAGAAGCCCAGTAGCATCTACTGCAACATATTGACCGGCAAGTTTAGCTGTGAGAAAGGGGATCATGAATCATGATCTACAATATGAAAGAATAAAAGACGTAAGGTTCCTTGAAATAAGCTTATAGTTTTAACTCATTAGTAAGCAGTAAGTAGTAACTACTTAAAGGAATATCTCCCTCGTTATGAGACAGATCTAACACTCTCCTCGTCATTGTAGGCTAATCAGTGTAAAATGTATGGCTGCGCCCAGTACTTTAAGGTCTGAGCTTTCAGCAGATCACTTTAGGTTGAGAATCGAACAGAGGACAACTTTACCCATACTTAATATTTAACGAATCTTTTCCAAAAGGAGATAGTTTAATTCACCCCATAACTTTTAACAGGTAAACGAAATAGATAAAACAGAATGTTAACCAAAATACAATTTTACTGGAGTTTTAGCAGAAAATGGGATTAAAACTGAAAGTGCCACATTTCCACTGCAAAAACAACAAGGTCATCAGATCCTCTGGCCGGGGAGAGAAGAAAAAGGCGAAGTAGATTTCCGTCACCCTAGTTTTTGTAAGTTTTAGTTTCATCCCGTTTGGTCCTATTCACCTTAGCAGCAAGGTGGTATGCACATGCAAGGTGCAAGTGGAATGTAGACATGTCAATGTTACAATTTTTCAATATGATTATACCCATCCAACTCACCCAAAATCTGTGTGGGGTTGGCAACATAAAAGAGTGTGATAATTACTACAAGTTGCTCTCACGGTTGAAACTTTTAAATTTCAAGCACCAAAATGGAACTTTCAGCAAATTAGACGGATATAAAAAATAGATTTGGACACAGATAAGAAAAAGGGTATTATTCTATGATAGGATAATTCATTTACCGCGCAATATAAGTTACAATGTTACTTGCTGTTCCTGCAAAAGTGTAAACCGGGGAAGAAGTGTATTCAGAAAAAGCTGAGTAAACAAGAATAATTATGAAAAGACTGGCATAGATACATACCACCAGGGCAGCTACCAACCAATATCAAACTAGCTGCATAATACGATGGCAAATTCAGGAGCTTGCTCACAAAATATCCTGATAACGGCATCACCTACAAGTACTCACCATTAAATCATATATGTTACATATTTGTGCCTAAACAGATTGAAGGACACATAATTTTTAACCCCAGTACAAATAAACAGAGTTAGAAATGTTCGAAAGATCAATCCGATCAATAGGGGGTGAGCAAAAATGCATTCAACTAAGAGTGTGCAACAAATTTATATATTTGGAGTTACAAAAAAGCTGGCATTCCCTTGAACCGGGAAATTAGCACAAAGATAAAAGATTTTTTGTAACATGAACACAATTGATCCATATGCATCAAACAAAACGTAGGGAATGGCATTCAGTACTCGACAATTATGTGCTAATTCAATATAAGCATAGTATACATATGAAATGTGGAGCTGCAAACCGAGTACTGAAGAAAAAAGCCGGCAAGCAACTCCTTGGGCATAGACAGCCACGAAGGTCGTCAAAAGTGAGGGTCATGCCCATGCCGAGCATGGTCAGTGTTATGCCTAAGATGGTACAGTTGGGTGTGACCCAAATGAAGGAACTCGGTTTGACGAGCCCCAACAGGCAGCCCAAAGCAACCCATATCGGAAACGCAGTCGACACAGACTCGCCAACCAGTTCAACCCAATCCCTGAAACTTCTGGTAACATTTGCATTGGAGCTGTTCGACGAAATGCCACAGTGAAGCGGAGCTAGTGGTAGTCGTGCGTTCTTGGCAGTTGGTATGGGTGGAAAGGGATTCGAGGGTAGATGCCGTTTGGGTTTGCTGGGAAAGTGCGGCTGTGAGTTGAATGGAAGAAGAGGAGGAATGAGATGTGTTGGTATGGTATGAAAATAGGAGTGAAATGGGGTTTGGTTGGAATTTGAAGCCTGTAATTCCATGGGGATATGAGAGTGACGACTGCATTTTCTCGGGATTCGTATCTCTCGCTATCTGGGTACTTGCTTCACTTCCAGATGTTTACGGCGTTTTGCAGAGTGGACTGGTTTCTAAATTTTTTTTCATTTGGGGCAGTGCCAAGGACATGTGCCTCTGGTATTCCAAAAAATTAATATTTTAATAGGTTATATTTTTTATCATCTCCAATTGATGGACTAAAGAGTCATAGGTTAAACATAGTTATGTGACAAAAAATTATCTCTAACCGAGAGGTAAAGGGCTATAATATGGAATGTGAATAATTGAAATAAAATGAGGTAAGATAGTATGGAATAATGAAAAATATATGAGAAAAGGTGTAGGAAAAAATTAGAAATTAAAAAAAGTAAAAAAAAGTGGGCTAGCCTAATCGAGCTGGCTGGCTTGTTGGAGATGACCAATCTGCTGGCCTGATTGGTTGGTTTTGGCCTGGTGGGGTCCACAAACTCTTTGGCCTAACCCTCGTTTAGAGACGGTTTTCGTGCTATTTTCGGTCTTCTGGCCATCTAGACCCTTTGGTTGGAGATGGCCTAAGGAGACTAACTTTGTTGATTAAATTCTGTAAATTATATAGAATGATTGTTGATTATTTGATTATTTGTTAAATATTGATTAACGTGCTTATATTTTATTAATGACACATCAAATAATTTACAAATTTGATCTAAAAAATTGGTCTACTTAATATAAGCATTGGGAATTGCAATAAAAAATTTGAATAAGGTTTGTGCTATCGACAAACTTATTTTTAACTCTCACACACTTTACTCAATTTTTTACCGTCAAAACAAATGAATTGAAAAGATCAATGAACAAGATTTAATAAGAGTGTATGAAATGTAAAAATGTGTGTAAATATAGTACTACCCTTGAATAATTAGTATATTCAAGTGTCACATACAAGGATCCCGAGAGGATCAAGAGTCCCTTGACAAAGAACCGATCGAAAGAAGCAAAACGAAAAAAGAAGCACTTTGAAAAGGTCGTTATGTGCTCCAAATTTATAAAATACTAAAAACAAAATGTATAGAAAATTGTAAATGATGTGTCAATAACATTTTCCAATAAGAAACTAGTGAAACCTGAAAATTCGTTGGCCAAGTACCTCATCAACAGCTCTGCGTAGTTCATAGAAAATCCCGTCAGAAGTTTTTGTTTTGGTCGACAGAAACTCTAGAGAAGGTGCCATCCAACGCAAGGAGTCCATCAAGTCAGCTATTTTGACGATTGTGTTTGTTCTTGGGTAACGAAATACCTCCTCTATATCGGTTATTACCTTAAGATGCTTGAGACTAGTTAATGGCGGGGAGCATTCCCTTCTCATGTTTTCTGGAAAGATGAGAGCCTACACAATTTCAAACACAAACAAGAAAAAGGAAATTAATCATTAATTTATAAGAATTAAAAACTTTCAATAATAAGCACCCTTAGGACATACGAACTATATGGGGCGGATACAATAGAACTTTTGACATACTTTTTTGTGGGGTTTATGACGTAATGTGTTCTAAACATCTGGACCTCTGTATATCTTCTAAAACATCATTCATAGATCATCTTTAATAGTTTTAGTTTTGTACTTTTCACAAGGATGGTCTGTGAATGATGTTCTAAAAAATGGACAGTTGAAATCGTTGAAGTATATTACGAAGTGGACTCTACAAAAATGTGTGTCAAAAATTGTGTAAAAAAATGGTTCCACACATCTGTCCCATGACAAACACACACACACACACATTTGTACATACCTTAGTATCACAAGCACATAGAGTTAGTAGAGTTCCGCAGTTATCAAAGTTTGCAAGAAAGTTTCTTATACAACAACTCTTTTGGAAGGGCAACATCGGCGTCGTGCATGTGTCATGAAGTACGATTGTAGCCTCGGATAAATTTGGAGCCTTTATATGAACTTCCGTATTCGGCCAAGTCACAGTACCCCAGAACCCAAGATAATTTAGATTTGGTGTATCAATTCTGCCTCTCAGAATTGAATCGTATCCATGGTTCTCAAATACAAAGCGTCTTAGATGCTGACTTCTGAGGTTGATATGTCCCAAGACGCGGCACTTAAGTAAGATCAAACGCTCAACGGCGGGATATCTTGAATCAAAGTCTTCAAACCATTGCTCTTCAAGCTCTGCAAAAATGATTTCCAGATTTCTAAGTGCTCCACAAGAAGAAAAGTCTACCTTGTTGCATGTCAGACGATAATTATATTGATTGCCACCCAATCTAAAAGATTCAAGATTCATAGCTTCAACTTTAACATCATACATTGCGAAGCACATAATTACTTCCAAAGATTTGAGGGTGGAACTCGAAACTTTAACATCTGAAAGACCGTAACATGAATTTATCGACAAATCCTCAATGGAAGGGCACCCCGAAAGCAAGTGGAAGTACCGCAAGTAGCATTTTTTGAGGGACAAAGATTTCAAAGATGGAAGCCTTATCGACTCATGTGAGTCTATCCTCACATGCTGCAAATCTAGTACAGTTAAAAACTTTGCATCGAGAACCTTGTGGGATAAGCAGTAGTAGCCATTATCAGGTGCGGATAAGCCGGAGCAGTTAAGGTATTTACCTGTGCTTACGTATAACTCTTTAGGGTTCCTCTCAAGAGCCAAACTCAACCACCCATCTACGAGATGACAGTCAACATGCCGAATTGTACGGAGCTTGAATTTATTTAATGGCGACTTATCTTTCAGGCGGCACTTCAAAGACCAGGTCGCGTAGTCAATGAAATTTTGATGGTGAATATCGTGAAGGTAGTCGCCGACATGCTTTTCCTCGTCTAAATCTATTACAGGGACAGAATGCCACTCACGTTCCCATTGCTTGGAAACGATACTGGCCCGAACGACATCTCTAGGGCAAAGGAATTGGAAGACCTGGTGGATAGCAAAGTCAGGTAATTCGGAAGCAGCTATGGCGGCCTTTTGCTTTTCGTCTTCTTTTCGGATGTACGCTTTTTTACTCATGACTGTATAACCTGATCAAACCCTAGCTTCCCGGAGTAAAAAACAAAAAACCTGGCTTCCCAGAGCAAAGAAACCCTAGCTTCGCTTATCCCGTAACCAGAGACCTTTTCATACCTTGTCAATTGTCATGCATCTTTAGTTAGTCCACCAACCCTATTGTAAGGTGGACTATGGCAATTTTGATGGGCCAACTTTTGCTTAAGTGTTTTGTTGGGCTAGTTGATGGGAAACAGTTTTAATTCGTTAATTAGGCATTAAACAATCAATAAGAATTTTGAAAGAGTTCTACTAAGCACCCTCGAGTATCTTATCTTCCCGCCCACTTTATATTTACACTCATCATAAATAAATACAAAATAAAAAAACACAAACTATGTCCCCACCCACCATTATTTCCAAAATAACCCTTGCTTTAAAAAATAATTATAATTTAAAGAACAATTATCATTAAACAAAATTGTTCCAAAACACCAAATACGTACGATTGGGGTTCTAATTGTGGAGGTGTAGAGGTTAATAATATTTAGCAGAGGAGACGAGCATGTCAAATAACAAGATCGTGGGCAAGGACGGCTCTAACATTTTCCAGAATCAATTGGGAATTGTCGAATAGGAAGCTTACAAATTTTTTTGTTGAGATGAGTAATTGATGTTACAGTTCATAAACAAATTCGGCATTTCAATTACAGTTATTCCCAGTTGTTATAATTCCTAGTGAGATAAAATGTTGAGCATCGTAGGTGGGAAAATTTTGAAACTTCTATAAATTAATATAACTATGTTATGAGCCTTATGGGATTTACTAAAAAATAAAAGGGATAAAAAGTATCATAAACCTCTCCACCTCCACAATTAAAACCCCGATCGTATTTGGTGTTTTGGAACAATTTTGTTTAATGATAATTGTTCTTTAAATTATAATTATTTTGTAAAGCAAGGGTTATTTTGGAAATAGAATGTATAACAATAAGGTGGGTGAAGAAATAAAACACTGGAGTGGGCATAAGGCCACTCTTTTGAAAATCACAACTCATTGACAATAATCTTATAACGACAATTAATATAAAAAGTCGAACTTTTAAAGACACTTTGAAAAAAATCATCATGTACTCTAAATTTATAAAAACACTGAAAGCAAAATGTATAGAAAATTGTACATGATGTTTTAATAACATTTCCCAAATAAGAAACAAGTAGTGAGACCTGAAAATTCGTTGCCCAAGTAACTCAGCAGCTTAACCCCATAATCTTACATTATCTAATCTGTAGAGAATCTCATCGGAAGTTTTTGTTTTTGTCGATAGAAACCCTAGAGAAGGTGCCATGCAACGCAAGGAGTCCATCAAGTCAGTTATTTGGCCAACCAACCCTTTTGAAAGTTAGTCAACCAACCCTATTGAAAGTGGACTATGGTAATTTTGTTGGGCCAACTTTTGTTTAAGGACGCGTTTACTAATCCGTAATCAAATTGAAAGAAATTGAATTAAGGAGGAATTGGAATGAGGTGGAATCAGAATCAGATTCCTATTAGAGTTGTTTACTAAAACTATTTGGAATAGGAGTAAGAAAGACATTGATCTATATAAACTGTTTACTAATTCTTATGAATCGGAATAAAAACTAACATGATTACTAAAATAGCCCTAGTTGAACTAATCTATTTTATATGCTAATTATTTTTAATAAAACTTTTAATCTTTCATTTTTTTTTATGAAAAAAGGCCAAAACCCATCATTTTTTTTATTTTTAGTAGAGAGAACAAATTTCTTTTTTATTTTTTAGGAAAACTTCTTTATTCTCCATTTTTCCGTTTCTGTTTTTTGTGTGACCCTCTCTCTCTCTTCCCCATCTTTCTCTCGACCCACCCCCTTTCTATAATTTATCCCTTTCTACCCCCCCCCCCCCCCCACCCACAAAAAAAAATTCTAACATTTCCCCCTTTTTTTCTGCTGCAGATCCACCCCACCTTTGCAGTTAAAGAAAACAACAACATACCAACGGGAAAGGAGTCCTTTCCAAATGCTTTTTCACGAATGCGCAATGCCTCATGGGCAAGTTGTTCAGCTTCTTCATCTCGTTCCAAATGGTAGAGTGTAACGATGAGGTGCAGCGTTGGGAACGAAGCTGCAGGGGTGTTTGGGATATCAAAAGAAGTACAAGGGTAGTTTGGGAAGAAAAATTTGATTGCTGATGGTCCCCTTCTCCCGGAATTCAATTACCATTTATTTCTTGGTAATCGGATTCCGGGTATATCTGGAATTGAATTCCCCATTTTGGGTGGACCCTACATTTATTTTGATTCCCCAAATACATGTAAACACATTAATCCTTTAGAAGGAATGCGATTCCGTTTCCACTCACCCCATTCCCGTTACGTAAACCCACCAAGTGTTTTGTTGGGAGTTGGGACAACTATGGGTAAACAATTTTAATTCTCCAAGGCATTAAACAATCAATAATAATTTTAACATTTTAAAATTTATTAATTTTGAAATCATCCTCTACAATAAGTTTGTGAAGAAGTCTAAAGCTTGTTAACTAAGAAAGGGGTGGTAGAATTATTTTGGTTCGTGGATTTTATGCATTTACTAATATATGGATATTCGAATTATTTCAATTCTTAACTATCCATGTGTTTACTGACACATAAAGAATGTAGGTTTTATTCAAGTTTGTAATCCAATACCTAAAAGTCTCGTTTGATATAGAGAATTGGCTTGAATAAAACTATTTATTATATTTAAGGTATTTAAAGAAAGAAATGGATGACAACTTTTTTATTTTGTCCAAGTTGAAGGTTACTCATGAAGAAAAGTTACCCTTTTAATTTTACCATTTTTGTAAGGATTAGTGAGATATATTTTCTTCATAAGTAATCTTCAACTAGATAAATAAGAAAATTGTCGTCTATTTCTTCCTTCAAAATACTTTAAATATAGTGAATAGTCATATTCAGGTCAATCCTCTCTATCAAACTTTCCATTGTCAAAAGAACTACTTGTCCAACAATATAATGAATAGTCCTATTTGGCCACATTTTATTTAATTATTTTAGTTTTGTTTATAATCAATTTTTTGTTTTGGTTTGTGCATAAGTTTAGAGCATGTTTGTAAGGAAAGATATTAGAATTATTTCATTTCTCAAAATTTCTACATTATTTAAATATGGATATTCTAATTCTTTTTTCTCTGTTCACTAACATACACCGAAAAGAAATGTGAATTCCATATTCAAGTTCATAATCGAATACCTGAAAAATTAGAAATTAGTTTTACTTACAGAGATAAGAATTGAAATCATTTTAATTCTTTACCTCCTTGTGTTAATTAAACGATGAGGCAAATTCGTCATCCAATATGTAAAAATCATGAATTTCAACGAGGGGAAAAGGGTTCTCCATCATAAAACTAAAAACTAATATGGTCTGTTTGGATGAGAAATTTCCAAGTACGACGAGATTTAGTTAAAATTATTTAGAGTTGCACTACAAAAAGTTTGATAGATTACAAAGTACACCTACATGAGCATTACAAGGCCACTAAATGACGGATTTTCAAATGGCTCCTTTCAAGCAGTCATTTACAAATTACTTGGTGCATTGCAGTCATTTCATATGCATCAATCTAATGTTTTGCAGTGCACTCCTTCCTAAATCCCTTGGTACCATTACAATCCCTCATCCAAACACAATATTTGGTAACTGCTTTTAGTTTTCAAAAATATGAAAACTAAAAACCAAAACTTGAAAACTATACGCTTGAGTTTTCAAAATTTTGCCTTAAGTTTTCAGTTTTCATCTGAAAGTAGTTACCAAATAAGATTTAAATTTCAAAAAACGTGAAAACCAAATACTAGAAACTAAAAACTAAATGGTTATCAAACAGTCCCTTGCCAAAAAACACAAACTTCTCCCTTGCAAAAAAAATGGAGAAACGGTTGAACAAAAATAGTTTTTGTCTGCAATTGTGCCAGCTCCCACACCTTACCTGGTGCCTTCTGATTATAGTAGCACGGAGGAGGAGGCAATTTATGGTCAACCAACATTGCTACCACCACCAAATTAGGGATCATAAGATCAAACCACCTCGTTGTTTGTTCATTGCATTCAGATAACAGGAATCAAACCAGTCTGGCTTTAGCTTGTGCGGCAATTGGGAAATCACCACCTGAGAATATAATTCAACTTATCAAATAAATTGCATACAACACAACTCTTAGAATATATGCAAATAGGGGTGTGATATCCACACACCCCTTTTTACTTCTCACACACCTTTTTAATTTTCGGCCGTCGGATCGGATGAATTGAAGAAGATCAACGGACAGAAATTATCAAAGGGTGTGTGAAAAGTAAAATGGGGTGTATTGATAGCACACCCCATGCAAATAATGTCAGGCCAAACTTGGTTAGCACTTATGAATCCTGTCTTTTTTTACCCCATAAACAGACAGTTATTTGATTTTCAACGTGTTGCTACGAAGCAATCATACACTAAACTCCATCATGCGTCTACAGGACTTCTAGACTAGGTTGAAACACTACTAGAAGGATTTCAGTAGGTTAGTACGAAGCAATCAAATCCACAGTAAAGCTTTCACAAGGCATTTTCATAGGAGGAACTAGGTTGACGCACTCTAAAAGGAAGGCTTTTAGCCTCTGCCACAAATTGTAAGCTGACCAATCCAGATAGTAAGGGTTCAGTCGTCAATGGTTCTTTGATGAAGGAGAGGAAAGATTGCCAACTGGTTTGGACCACATATTAAGTACTTAATAAGGAAAACAAAATGAATCAGCTTAAACTTTTAGGCAGTTAAATATCTCCTAGAACACATATACTGTCAGAAATGTCTCCTCTTCAATTTTTCAATGGAGACTTGTATGAGTAGTTCAACATTGTTTTGTGTGTGTGTGTGTGAAGACAAATTGATCATTGCGAGAACTTCTGTTTGATTGCGGGCCCACTATTTTTAGACAAAATTAAACGAAGTTGGCAGGAGCCTTACTTTTAACGAAGTTGGCAGCAGCTTTCTTTGAGAACCGTGTGACGAAACTCAAATCCTAAGTGCGTAAGAATTGAAGTATCCTCTGGGTTATATTTTCTAATTCCTTCTGAAAATGTAGACTTTAACTAACCCATGAAACCTTAATCTGAGTTCTCTCATGAAACCTGCACCAAAAGTAACTTTGTTGCTAATTCTCAAGAAGCACTTGCACCACCAGAGTCAAGCTGATTCTTTCTTGACCTGTTTTGACAACATTTAAATCTCCCCACAAATCCGTCTATGTCTAATCTGAACCACAGGTATCCATAAGGTTTAATTGTCACTGTCACCTTTAGCCATGGCATATAATTAAAAAGTCTCTTTCATCTTTTAGGAAACCTTCATCCATATTTTAAAACCCTAAATCCCTTGTTCTCTCATCAAAGTTTCATTACAATTTACCGCTCTTCTTCTAAGCTTATTTTGGAAAATTCATTAAATTAACCTATGTGACAACTATTTCTAGAATCATGGCTCTAACTTTCCAAGTCACTTTAGTAAAAGCATCGATCTTGCATCACCACGTATGAGCCCATTCAATCTTTTCAACTTTAGCTTATAATGCAACCTCCCAATTTGTTTATTACATCATGTATCCGTCTTCTTTTGCAAAATTTCTAAGATAGTACTAAACCTCAATTATAATGGTATTCTTTGTTTAATAACAAACCAAAAGCAGCAGCATTATCAAAATGATAAAACAAAATACAGAAGGTGTAAAGTTGAATGGTTAGACATACCTCATGAGCAGATTTGCAGAAATCATGAACTGAACTTGAGAAACATTGGACATACATGGAAGGCAGCAGATTTGCAGGGTCAAAAGGTTGTGAACCTGGATGAAGACATACATGAAGAACATAAGAGACCAGATATATAAACATGTATTCATTGCTTTAATTCTAAAAATGCAAGTGATCATGAACAGAACTCAAGAGAAAATAGGACATAAAGACAGACTTGATGAAACACAAACTCCGTAGGAAACAACATTAGTTCCAGATTCAATTTCCATTCCACTCGAGAGAGATCATGCAATGGGGTACTAATTGCAGCTAAACCCCGTTCCGACATACAGCTTCCCTAAAATGAGTATAATATCATTATACACATAAACTAGCTAAACACTGCCTCTGTCCCCCTCCCAAAAAACAGTATGATCAAATTGATGAACTTCTGTTCAAATGATGAAGATAACCTACATGAAATAGTGTATCAGGAAGAGAGGAAAACTAAGCAGCACTGTTTTAAGGCTTAAACCATCAGATAAGATAAGTAATAAAACTTAAATAAAAAGGTCTACATTTGAAAGTTAGTTATGCATTTATCTTAGACCTATGTATAAAATAACACCCAAATAAGCAGTTGAATCATATATAATCTTCCAAACAGTACCATGCTCAAGTAAAAGCCAAAAGAAAAATCATGTACAGTTCTAAGATCATAAAGTTGTGATCCATATTCCATAATGAAACTCACTAAACAAACTAAATGTTGCCCACTGAAGTTTCAGTGGTGAGAGTTGGTGGTAAATCTACCAAGGGCCATTTCATGGTCCAAACCCAGGCAATGTATTTCATGTTGCCTAGAAAAGAAAGAATGATGCTCCTCCTAGACTAACTCTATTATGAATACTTTGTAAATTTTCATACAGTCAGTTATATCAGTTACTCAGATGCTTCACTACAACCCTTGCATTCCTAAACCATCTTGTAACAAGAGTACCTCATGCTTCGATGTAAAGCCATTTCATTCTAAACTCGATATCCAAAATTACCAAAATGGCTTTTGTTCTACCCAATTTCATATCCAGCTTTACTTGCTTCTATTAATTTTTGCTATAAAATATTGCAATCAAGAAGGAAAGAAAGCCTTAATTGACCTTAAATTACTACACAGTACACACATAGCAAACATGAAATACCAATCAGTCAGAGCTTGGTCATCACAGTAACAAAGCAAAACAAAATAATCGGAGAATAAAATCCTACTTGATACCAAGGTGCAACCATAGAAGTCTAAAACATTATTCCATTGATTTGACATACCCAACAGACGTAAAAAAGAGGATCAAGGATGTGAAGTACCAAACTACCTCAATCACAGATCACAAGGAATTCCTAGAAAATGCCACTGACAAGGGGTTTGGACACAAAACTAATGAGTCTGGTTCTAAAGAAACCCGATTTTGCAGTAACAACTAAGAGGGGAAGAATATTTTAGAAAAAAAAGTACAGAAGAACAAAACAAAGACTGGGAAAAGTCAGAAATTCAAATCACTTACTTGACCAGAAACTTATTCTGCAGCTCCATTGTTGAATGTCTTCGCAATGAACAGCATACCTCATGCTATGAATACACTTCCCTTACATTATGCTGTTGTTCTTCTAAAGAAACAAGATACGGAAATAAAGTTTCCTTAAAGAGTATCTCTTGAACCAAACTCAATGAAAAAACTCATGAAAAATTTCGAGCACTTTCTTGCTATTAAAAAATCCATGTCCTTAACAGTTGACTCCCATTGTCCCATAAATCTGTCTCACCATAGTCCTAGCAAATGAAATGAATGACTATAGAACCTATAATCCATAAACTGAAAAACCGCAGTCAAAAAGTGAAGGGGAAGAATGAAGACCTCTCTTTACACATGCCATGCACAATGAGAGAAGAGAATGGGGGGAGAGAGGAGAGAGAAAGAGAGAGAACACTATACTAAGATTTTTCCACTACATAGAAAACAGACACATGGAATCTAACTCAAATTCTAAAAAGCTGACTTCAAACAGATCCAAGTTTCCCGGGTGCAAAGGTTTCCTGGACATAACAAATCAAGCAAGGGGTAACAGCTCATTCAAACTCAGCAGCCAGCCTGCACCGGAGATTTTAAGTGATTTTGAGGAGCGCTTCCACTCATGAGCAACACAACTCAATGGAAACCAACATACTCACTCGAGACCCCCAAATTTGAGGGGCGCTTCCACTCATAAGCACACAACAATATCCAAAATAACAAAACCAAAATAAAGCACATGGCTAACAAGTTTAAACAAAAAACATTAAGTACTACTGCAAAAATTTGGTTATTAGCCCTAACAGTAAAACATTGGTGAATAAAATCTTATATGGGAATTTTCTATTAGATCTACGATATACAATAAGTTAATGACCTGTCCTTGAGTATTCAGTCCATTATCCCAAGAATTTTTTACATGCAGTTCTAATATTAATTGAGGTTGCCACACCTTCTACAGATTCAATATGAATACTTCATTATTCCTTGTTTTGGGACTAAAAAAAGATTATACTAATCCCACAACTTCCTCTTTTAAATAATCTGGCATGCATTAAAACGAACAAAATGTCTGGCTAAATGTTTGTAATTAGAGTTTCAGTCTCGCCAAATACAACAAAAACTCCACAACTTGTATCAATCCAGAAATCTCCAGAACATCAAAATAACCAAGTCACCAAATAAACATGAAGAGTTGATTTATATGTGAGCTATACAAAGTAATGCAAGTTGTTTTCGAATGTTTATCTTCTCAAGTGTGTGGTTGTGTGTGATACTTTCTTCCTTTATAGGATTCCAAGAAAAGTAACTTTCCTGAGTTTTAAGCTAGGTTAAGCTAGCACAACCATTATGATGAGAAAACGGAGCAACACTTATATCATAGAATGGAAATTATTTACAAGATGTAAGAAATCAATAGGAAAAAAACAAAGGGGCAGATGAAACCCTAAGCATAGAAAAAGAAATAATATATTGATGGTAGCCTAGCACAAAACAAATTCACCAAGTGCTTACATTTAATGAAAGAAGAAATGACAAGCTACAATGATAAAGGATTTGAGTCCTCATGTGAATTATCAATTATCAAAGATCAACTTATCAACATTCTATGCCTGTTTGCAACTGCTTTTGGAAGAACACTTCCAAATAACCAAAAGCGCTTTTGACAACCTTTGACAGAAAACTTAATAGTCCTTAAGGACTCTAAAAGCACTTAGATTTTGAGAAAGTTGTGCTTCTAATGAAAGTGCTTCTAGCAGGAGTGCTCCCCTAACATTATGCAGTAATCCAATTGCACGAGCAGAGCACAAAAGCTTCCTAGGGCAGAAACCTAATTGAGCCTTAAAATATATTGGCAAACAAGACAGAAAAAGAAACTAACCTTAACCAACAAATGGGAAGAGCATTAATAAACCATATTTGCTAACAAAAGGGAGCTCACAAGTAAATGACACGAATTCACAATCAAGGGACAGAATCCACCAATAAACTTTGAGTTTTGTAAAGCACTAGCAATGTTCTTGTTTCAAAACGGAGAAATTCAACAAACTGACCTAACAAACAAAGCATCTTATATATGATGAGCACAAAAAAGGTAGAAACAGAATTCAGAAAATACTATCAGCTGTCTAAATACGACAGTTGGCAATGTATACATAATTAAGGAAATGAAGCATTGATATTATAATGAAATGCATTTTAGAGAACATAATGCAAATATATGCATCAAAGAACACCAAATTATCAATGGTTTACTGCACCATCAAGGTAATAAAGTTTTTGAGGTGTTTAGGTACAGTTACTAAACACCCAATAAACAATTAAATTTCCAAAATGTTACTATCAGATAACACTTCAATCACAGACCTAAGCATCTAATACACCGCGGCGAAGATACCAATCAAGACAGGGCTCAGCACCATGGATGAACTAGCTTATCTGTGTCCCTGAGCTCGCTGCATGTCATATGCACCCCATGAACCTGGCATAGGTGCATACTGAGGAAAATTTTCAGCACCACTCTGTACCTGAAAAATGAGGGAGGAACTAATGCATTCATAATAGCCACAGCAGTTTACACAGATATGCATTATCGTGTGGGCACATACAAAACAAAAACATCAATGCTTTAATCAGGTATCCACACAAACACGCCTATTATGAATTCATGAAAGAGAACAAAACTTACAGGATTCATGCCATAAGTGGCAGGATAGGGGTTTCCTGCATATCCTGCTTCAGGATTCCCATAATTGGCATTATAACCTACAGCTTTAGAGACAATTAAAAGACAAAATCAACAGTAATTCCAAATGAATCTCCAAATAAAAGAAAATATAAAATATAATTATCATCAAAATTGTGCTGCTTCAATGTGATTGTGACAACCAATTTAAAAAAGTATGGAATAATCGGACAGGCCTAAAGGCCCTAAACCATGAATTAATTCATAGAAATTGAATCGGATGAAGTTGAATCCTCATATGATGTGGGTATACAAAAGACTAACAGTCAGGTCCAACTTAAGCTTTATAGGTATCAAGTTAGTTGACTCGGCAAATTGTCCATGACTGGCTTTTTATACTTTACATCATGTATGGGCATGGTTGAGCCTCAACAAAATCAATCAGAACCATTACATATCCAGATTAGAGCATTCTTTGAGGCTAAAACTCACAACATAAGTATATATTTGAATTAAAGAAAAACTTGTGAAACTTAGATAATGATAAAAGGTTATAGTTCCACTGGTACAGTGTGATGCAAGCTGAAGGAAAGTGGAATTTTCAGTATGTGGTACACCTTGATAGTTTGTTATTGTGTTTCTCCCATAAGTGGTATATTTTTTTTCCACTTTTTTTAATATTAGTATTATTTTAATTAATCTTTTCTCCTCCTCCACGATCCATTGGTATGTTGTTTTCTGTGAGATTTCAGTTCTTTATTAAAAAAAAAGTTTCAAGAGTGAAATCTTAATTCAAACTAACTAACAATATAAACTAAAAACAGATTGTATACCTGGATTTCCAATAGCAGCTGCAGCTCTTGCTCTCTTCTCCGTGTTAGCAATTTCTGCACGAAGTTTCTCCAGCTCCCTAGCCATTGATGTCAAATTCTTCTCCATGATTTGACCATGCTCATAATTCTCTGCATATCCTTTCTTTTCATACTCAATGGCAGCTCTTAATGCAAACAAATAACTCATAAAGTTAAAACAAATCCAAAGACAATAATCAAAACATAAACTGTAAATTCAAGGACAATAATAAATCATGCAAAATCTACCTGGCACGTTGCAATTCCTGTTTCATTGCTTCAATTTCTGTTCTCAAAGCTGGTGCTTGTTGCAAATCAGCAGTCATTCTAGCCAGATCTTGTGTCATCACTTGTGCCTGAGCCGAGAGCTCCTGCCTCGCAGCAGTGAGCTCCTTGATATCAGCACGAACCTGAAGCAGCTCATTCCGCATGGCCTCCACTCCACGAAGGTCCACTTCCAAACGAACAGACTTGTCATACAAATCTCTCATTTTGACATCCTTGTCTGCCCGCAGTGAATCAACATGGTAAGCCATTCGCTGCAACTCAAATTGAGCAGCCTCCAATTCCTGCTTAAGAGCAACATGGGTTGCAGCCAGCCTTTGGTTATTACCTAGAAGTCCTTGTATATCTTGATGTTGAGCGGCAAGATGCTCCTCAATTATTGCAGGGTGGGGAGGAAGTTGTCTGGGACCCATGCCAAGCTGGGATTCTCTCATTTCCTCGAGCAATGCAGGATGGGGCATCGGACCAAGTCCTCTTCCATATGGGAGTTTGTGAACCGGAGGGGGCAATCCAGCATGAGGTGGTCCACGATTTCTTCCGGACATGATTTTCTTTTACTCAAAGACTCAACCACAAAAATATTTCCTTCTCGAAAGATCAACCAAGCGCGTTTGAGAAATTAAACCTGAATGACATCAACTCTAATCTCAATTATCTACCAACGACGAACTTATATCTGCCACTGTCAAACATAAAAATTTAGCTGAACAATAAAAAACCCATTTAGAAACCTCTATCTTAAACATTTGAAGGCATTATTCTCACCGAGTCTCTAACTTCTAACTCACTCAACTATATAAAAAAATAAAAAAAAATCAAGAATAAAAAATTGTAATCCATCAACCTAATCCACATCCATCTACCTAAATATATGTTTGGTTGCCAAGAAAACGCAAGAAAATAAAATCAGAATTCCCAAAATTATTACAACCCAACAGAACTAAAAACCAACTGGTATTACTACATTAAAAAAACTCGAACTATATTTTCGATTTTCGCGTCATCCAAGCAGAAAAATAGAGCTATATTTCCACAGAAAAGTAAAGTGATACTCGACGAATTTAATTGAAACAGTAAGAAAAAAGCATGAAATGTAGAAATTATTAACCTTTGGGAAGGTAGAGGCCTGCGAGGGTCACAAGGAGGGGCTTCTGGGCATGGAGTCCGTCGCGGTACGAGCTCGGAGTGGTCCAGAAACCCTAGCACAGCAGGATTTTCCTCGCTGGGGTTGTGAAGGAGGGGAAGGTGAAGGGAAACCAAAAGAATTTCCCTTTCTTTTTCTCTGTTTTTTTTTTTCTTTTTTCATCAGAATGGACTTTGAATGAAGAGAAGCGGGGCCGGAGAGAACAGTGCTAATTATTGGCTATTGGGCCCAAGCCCAACATCATTTGCGGATGGTGTGTTTAGTTTGGAGCCGCATAAAACATGCAACCGGACACAATGAGTCAGCCATACTATAATGTCTATTTGTTTGGCCAACAGCCACAGTTTTGATGTCACACTTGTCATTCACGCAAATCAAATCTAAGAACTTTTCATTTACAAGTAGAATAGCATTTAACTGAAGTACTCAATAATGTCTGAACTTGAAATATGAATCCATATTGATGGGTAACAGAAGAAAATGAATGGGAGAAGTCATGATTGGGAACAAGATAAAAACGATACATGGTTGTTCAAGTACGACATAACTAACTCGATCGAATTCAAATTGAGCTTAAGTGTTCAACTTAATCGCGTGTGAACTATGACACAAACATGGCTTTAACAATAATCGTTCCAATTGCATTGTGTCTCGCGAATCTATTGCCAAATTGGCCTAGTTAAGTTAATACATACCTTAAATCTATTTAACACATTTTTGATATCATATGTTATGGTTATATGGCCATATGTTTGTTAAAACACACATAGACAAAGATCTACTTTAGATCTCACTGTTCGGAGCCCAAGGATCAGTATCTCACACAAACCAAGAGTTTTGATTTCTTTTTCACACAAACCAAGAACTTGAATTTTCTTATCCTTAGACTCCAAAATTAAGATCCGGAGAGAATCCAAATTCCTCACACAATACAAAACACTCTTTTGTTTCTATCTAAATGCATACATGGGCAAGGGTTGATGGAAGCGGAACCACCATATTAATTTGTTGGGTAAACTCATGCAACAAACTAAAGAGGTTTGACTCTCTCTCTCTCTCGTGAGCCCTTGCTTTGCTTCGTATTTATCCTCAGTTGTCCTCAACATAACATTGATCGTGATCATCATGTCGCATCCAACCAAGAAATGTCAAATCTCAGTTTATGACACAAGGAAATGAAAACGGCAAATTAGTCGTGCAACTCTTATGCAACGGTGCGTTTGGACGAGGAATTTTAAAGTTACATATAATGTAAGCTATGTTTATTTAGGAAAATTAGCCATGCAGCTCTCAAATTCTTAACAACAAATATCAACGAATCCAACGGGATCAAACACATACACAACGAAAACTTGAGAGGTAATCACTTTTGTCCTATATTATCTCATGGCAATACCATTTGTACTCCCCGTTAGTCATCCCGCACTCTCGTTAGATACTATTTATACTCTTAGTTTGTCATTCTGTACTCCCATTAGTAGTTGTAATAGTAGAGAGAGAGATGGTTAATTAGGGTTTAGAACAAGCATGGATACCCCATGACTGCCTTTATTCCCCAACGGTCGTAAAAACTCAACCAAAGAGAGCAGCTACGCCCTGCAGCCAGGCGGTGGACCATCACGTGTAGGCCGTACACTATCAATGCAGAATTATTGCATGCATCTTTCTACGTATAAGAAATCATCACTCTTTTTCTACCTTTCTAAATATTCCCCATACAAAATCATCAAAATCTAAACTTTGTTAGTCGCTATACACCATATAAGGAAATAACAAAATCCCATGGAAGCTTTGTGGAATTTAGAAGACAAGTGGAAGCTCTCTACCCAACAAGCATTCCTGCTATTAGTTTCCGCTGCGTTCGCCATCGTCGGTCTTTGCATGGCGGCGACGGTTTTGCTAAAGAAGGCTCAGAGGAAGCCGGAGGAGCAGAAGCTTGTGATGAGCAGCCAGCGAGAGGAGGTAGTAGGTCAACCGAAATGGTCTGAGCCGAGTTGTGGTTGGGGGTCGATAAAGAGGGCGTTGGTGAGCTCAGTGCGGTGGAGCAGAAGGAGCAAGTGGGAGGAGAGGAGGGGCGGGAGCTGGAGAGAGACGCCGCGGCCGCTGCTGGACAAAAGGGTTGAGGTTGAAGTGGGGTGGCGAAGCCATAACTCGGATTCTCCCGTGTGGCAGAGGCCTATACTTATGGGGGAGAAATGTGAGCTTCCGAGGTTCAGTGGGCTTATTCTCTATGATGAAAGAGGTCGGCCTCTATGTGACTTCCACGAGGAAACTAGAAACCAGGTATAATTCATCAATCTAGTAATTTTCCTTTGAATTTTATTTTTGGGGTTACAAACCTTTTTGTCTTTATACCTAACATTTATTTTGGTCACTTAAAAACACAGTGACCAAAATCGACTTTAGGTATAAACGCAGTGACCAAAAGGATTTTTTTCCCTTATTTTTGCTGGGAACATAGATTTGATAGTTGATAAGAATTTCACAATCTTTTGCATGTCAGAGACTACGATAAATTGTTTTATGCACATTGGTAACCACAAGATAATTTAAACATCATGGCATGGTGAAGAACATGTTTAGGAATCATTTGGTTTTTGTAATCGGATTGAACTTGACAATTCACTAGATTCAAAGTACGTTTAAAACATAAATAAATGTTAATTTTCAAAAATTTGTCTAATTTGACGGTTTAGTCCTCACAAGTTGGCATCTATTTCTTCCCTTAACATATGTTGAATCTTATGAGTTCTCCAATCTTAGGCACCAACGCGACCCAAATCGCCTAGACGAAAACAGATGAAATTTCTAAGCCTTTATGAAACCATTTTTGGATAATCAAAATTTTGGTGGGAAGGATCTTGCCTTGCATACAAGATTTAGAGCGTAACCGTATAACCCAAAACCAATTGACAATGAGTGGAGAGGTTGAAGATCTTAAGCGCTTATAGGAAAAATTCTCTCTCAAATTTGGGATACCCTTAACATAGCATATGCACAAAACACAATTCTATGGCCTCGTTTGGTACAGAGGATTTGAAAGAATTTCCTTCATATCTCATCCCCTAAAAACGAATAATCATTCTCCTCCTCCTTCAAGTTGCCTTGACTTCAGAGGTTATCCATCCCAATCTAATCCTCTATAACAACCGAGACCTATAAATTACGCAAATCCGGCCAAAACACGGAGATTTATCAAAAGCTTTGTATAAATTTAGACCCAAGAGAAACTTTCTTGTTGTCATACGTTGCATCTTTCTCAATCAACATATTCTTTTTGGTTTGATGTGCAGGATAAGACTGCTGGTGTTGGCAGAACAACTTTGAGGGACTTGCTGTAGTTTTTCTAACAGAAATGTTTTTAAAGGGATTTACCAAAACAGAGTAGTAGCTACCAGTGATGTGCATCAGGAAGTTTTTGTATACAATGACAGATAAACTGTCAATGTGCAAATAAAGGAATGCACGATCTCTTCTCGCTTCATCTGCCATATTTGAATCAAGAAATGTTATTGGCACTCCAAAATACTCATTCTGAACTCGTCCCTAAAGAAAAAGACGAGGGCAGAAGGGGTGCAGAATAACTACTTTCGAGTGCTAATTTGATGATCCATAGAAATTCCCATGTTCAAAATTAATCTCCCTTTCCCAATGCATGTGCAAGAAAATCTATAAACTCCATTAGTTAACCAACTAATATCTTAAAAAGCTTGGCAGTAAAGATATCGAAGAACTTGTTTATGCAGAATTATTGACATCAGCTAATCTATGCAGATCTTATTGTTCCTTTCAGTCTAATTAAAACTTTCCGATCACAACCAACTCATGCCTCAAGTACCTAAGCTTGCAACTCACGTTTCTTTTAAGTCCTCCCGTGTTTCTTTGGAACAGAGGTTTCTAATGAAGCCAGTTAGTATTTCTGATATGTTCAGATGGTTTGCTAGAATGTTTCTTCTAAAGCTTCAGGTATGAGTCAACAATTTAACATGTTAGACAATTTTATGCTATCACACAAGAAAGTAAAGCGGGAGCCTCTCCATAAATGGGGGTAAGGCTAGCCGACATTCACCTCTCCCAGACCCTGCGTAAAGCGGGAGCCTTGTGCACTGGGTACGACCTTTTTACACAAGAAAGTAAAGAATTCAGAAAGAGAATTGAATTTACCTAAATTCCCAAAGAGAATATGAATGCGAAATAGAAACACAAGCAAATCGAAAAGTATTTCATGATTGATTCTGAAGCAGAAGGTACAATCACAAATCACAAAAGCAAAAAAGAAGCTGAGAAAGGAAAGTGGAATTGAAACCGTGACACTGTATTGATTGTACAAATAAGGCAGGATGTGTTTCACATCTGAACCTTGACCTCTTCCGTTCTTTTCCTTGACATATATCAATAGTGAAGCTGCTAAAGCCATATAAAAACGGCTTTACAGGTTTCAACTTGATGCAGGAAAGATGAGAAGAAGTTGATCCGATGATCTGAAACAATTACATCGTAGAACTCATACCAATTCATGAATGCTACCGATTAAAAAATGGGATTACTAGTCTGACAAACTCTTCCAAGTATCTATGATACACATAGATGCACTTTCACACATAGAAAGACAGAGGGAGAGAGGGAGGGGGAGGGGGATGACCTGAGCCATAGAGGAGATTGAAAGGCCGAAGGACATACTTTTTGTTTTCAAGTAGGTAAGCCGCACCACTCTTCTCTTCAATCATTTTGCCTATTTGATAAGATTTGTTCTCACCTATTAACAGTCAAGGATGAATTCATAAGATTAGCATGACATTAATTTTACATGTACTCATGTATTCAGGGAAGGGAAACCCAGGCCACAAATTTCTTTTGCGTGGGGAAAATGGAGCATATATAGCATTTATTTGTGATAAATTTGACACTCAGAAGGATCAGACTTGTACATGCTAGAAATGAGAAGATTATGGTTTTCCGTTGCAATAAATAAAATTGAAAAAAAGATAACACTTACGTCAAAGACAAAACACATGCACTCTCTTGTTTCCGGAACTGATTTATGCATATGAAACTAACAACGGTTCTCTGGAGTTTCCTTTAGACGAATCCTTATAATGAAAGTACAACGCTAATTGTACAATCCCCAAAATGGTTCCTACTCCATTTGGGACCTGAAATGCATCAAGAATGATACTGTAAGACCTGGGAAACCAAGAACTTTAATCTGAATTGACAGCTCCATATATCTTTTCTTAAAAAATAGAGAAGATGTGCTGCAAGGGAATCTTACATAAACGAAGAGATCAAAATTAAAAATTCCATAAAGCAAGAAAGAGGTGCTCATGAGGAAGGTGGAAAGGGAGAGATAGAATGGCATAAATTCGACACTCTTTGTCCGGATCACCAAGTTCTGCAAAAACACAACAAACTAAATAAGGTAACACAACAAAATACATAGTTGATGCCAACATAAACCAAAATAAAGAAAGTACGGCAAGGGCCTTGGATTAACTTACAATTATAAACAAAGGAGACGCAAACATTGATATTAGAGATGCACAACTAAGCAGTCCAACAACTAGCCGACGCAAAGCAGCATCAGGAATTTGCAAGCTCCCATATACTATGATTGCAATTAGACCACAAACTGCTGCCAGCAATCCCAGCATCCTCATCTGCAAAGATAGAGGGAACTAACGACACTTAGAACATAATAAGGCTTTCAGAAACTTCACCTAGGTAACAGGTGTGAGTAATATAGGTAACCTTTTTTGTTCTCTCAGCGTATATTATGAAGAGGGTTATGTACACTAATTGAAACACCGCACCAACTGAATTGACCGTCATAACCATTATGTTATCAGGGGATATAATAGGCGATCCATACCACATGCTGATCAAGCAGTTCAAAAGGGCATATATGTATGGGAGCCCTGAGAACTCTTCAGTGGCACGGTTTCTCATTATTCTTCTAAATGTGTGTCTGAAAGTAAGAAAATAAAGCCAATTAAAAAACAAACCGGTGAGGAAATGAATACAAATCGTTCTCGTTCTCATGTTTTCTCACATTTAATTATTACCAAACTGATAAAAACTTACATTGGTGAAACAAACAGTCCAAAAGCAAAGATGTTCCCTGCAACAGATATTAAAAATCAGTGGAACCCCAATATGCGTATATACATAAATCAAAATAATCCTGGATTCAATTGCGAGAATCAGAGGTCATCACAGGTTACGATTCAACACTCAGAATTTGAAATAGCAGGAAATAATTTTTCTTAATATTTTTATATTTAAAGTTGCCGGTGTAACCGGGTGTTTCTTGATTTGAAGTTCTAAGACATGATTTGCGCACATGTCCAAGCATTAATACCAATATTCTGCTATAATTCAACGCAAATTAGTGATGTCTGAGATTCCGAATTTGTTATCGAGCACAGTTAGCCTCAGAAACTACTTAGATGGACAAATCCCGCATTTATGAGTTGAACAGCTTAGTTTAGAGTACGCAGCACACAAAAGCTTTCGGCCAAACTAACATGTGAACCAAGAGTTGATGCATTGTTGTAGCTCAGTAATTTTGGATTCAACGTCGATATTGCTGCTTTCACGAAATGCCTCATTCCAAGCATTGAAACTTCTTACTAAATAGGGCGAGCGAAAGATAATTAAAACTGATATCGGTCAGGAAAAACGCATGGCAATACATCAAATATTGCTGCCAAAGCTTTGAACTTTTGCATGATAACTTGGTAGCACAAAAGAATTGGTCTTGAAGATTTAAAATTCTCTCTCATCACTGCAAAATAACATCAATATGTTTTCCAATTTAAAAACTCTCGTCGATAACGATTGTCAACTAACAATCCTGATATCAAACAACAACGTGGGCTGCTGAACTAACTTCAAGACTTTTGCCCAACAGAGCCAACAGTTTCCAACCAAAATTAACCTACTGGAATATCATACCTCCACCAAAAAAGTTATCCTTCCTTTTGCAATGAATGCAATACCAGAAGCCAAGGTTTAATCTTTAATGGGTAATTTCAGTTCTTAATTAAGAAAAATTAAAAGCCAAAAACAGTAACAATTCGGACAATGATCGCAAAAACAAAAAAGATTCAAGAGAATAATAGCACCTGCAATTCCAGCTGCACCTTTGCAGATTATGAACACGGGATTTGAAGGTGAAAAAACCATCAGTCCCTTCAACTCCAACTCCAACTCCAACTCCACACTAAACAACCAGAAAGCAAACCCAAATCACCTTTCAAAAAAAACCCAAGAGAGTTATAGGTAAACCCTCCTTCTCTCTCTCTCTCTCTCAAATATTGGAAATCTGTCAGAGCCGCCCAGGTCTCAGAGAAAAGGAGAGAAGAGCCGTTGCTTAATAAGCACATGTCCTTATAATTGTTATCTGCCTCTCATTATATTTTATATTGTATATTTAGACAATTTGCAAATGTAGAACACTCCAAGGCTTTCAAGACTCCAACTTGGGACTTTTCAAGGGTCGACTAATAACAGCTTAGACATTTCTTGCTGCTTGGTCCTACAGTTCCTCGGTATTATCCTAAGCTTATAAGTAATAACTTTTAAATTAAACGAAAAGCTCGATAACAAATTATTATATTAATTTATCGTGTAGCTTAACTCAATTTTTTTTATTACTCATTTCTATCGCTAACATATCTTTTTAATTTTTGACCGTCGGATCAAACAAATTGAAAAAGATCAAATGACACAAATTAACAAGAGATGTATGAAAGGTAAAAAATAATGTATGGATAACACATCTCTATTAAATCCTCATAACGAATATAAATATAGTAGGCTTATTCTGTAGTTTAATTCAAATTTCTTATTTCCAGTTATATTAGGACGCTTGATAAATTAGGTTTGAGATGGGAGAAAAATCTCTCATACTTGTGTGTTCATTGACACACGTGTAACAATTAATGGGTGGATGGTGTTAATTCGAACAAGGAATGCTGAGCTGGCTGATATTAACGAAGTTATGAGTGGACCACTACAATGTACAATCGCATGCTTGATGTCATTATGCACATTTAGGTACGACAGGTCCGACAACTCCCCTCATTTGACATTTCCACTATCATGACATGTTATAAACATGGATCGAATCGTGGACCCGTGGTTCAGATTTAGATTAAGGGAACTTTAACGAAAAGCACCCGGTACTGTTCACTTTAACGAAAAACCACATTTTTACACTAAAAAGTCAATCCTGGTACTATTCACTTTACCCTTTATTTTGTCCTTATCATTAAAACTCAAAGTTTTCAAGCCCTTTTCATTAGTTTTTCTTTAGATTAAATCTGGATGCAAGAGATAAGTCTTTTGAGGGACTGAGAGACCGGGCAAGTGGTATTTTTCCAGAGGAAAAAGTTGAGTTGGTATGGATTCGAACCTTGTTGATGATTAATTTAACATTTAATCTATTGTTTGACAAAAAAGTAAAAAAAAAATAAAGACATTATGGGTTATTTAAAGGGAAATGTTATTAGCACTTCAAAAATCTCATTATACACTTCTCATTAATGTATTTTTCTTTCCTAATATAAAAAATTTGGAATGTAGAATGAGATTATTGGAGTGTTAATAATAATTTCCTATTTAAAAAGGTGTTCAATCTTAGAGAATTTTGAGTTTTAAAAACAAATCCGTGATATTATTTTTTACATAATTTTTTACAATCGTTTATGTGAAGCTCATTTCTTAATGTATTTTAACGATCCAAATCGTTTATATTTTAGGTCTTCCCTCAAAGATCTTGTCTCTAAAAAAAAATACCAAAATCTAAAACTATATGACCATTGGAATAAGGATTTAAGGTTTCTTTGTGGAATTCGCTCATTTTATTTACTACAAATGAATAACTTAATAGTTTTGAATTTGTCTAATTTTCTGCAATGATGATCTATCAGATGTTCTAAAAGATAAATGGTTTAGTTCGTTAAAATACATTACGAAGTAAACCTCATTAAAATATGTGTAAAAAAATTAATGTCACATATCTGACTTTAGATTTTTAATTATCAAGGTTATAGTTATGATTGTCAAATATCTATTTTACCCGGACGCATTGGATTTTCAAGTATTCTTGAGTGATATTTTTGAGTTCAATTAATTTTTTGGTTGCGATTTTAAGTCAATTGAAGAAAAGATATTCATAATTTTCCTTAAATTGCTAACGCTTCAAACATTAACATAAAAATTAATAATAGAAACTAAGAGTGATGTTGGACAAAACACGAAAAATGTAGTTTACCGAAGGAACATCCAAGTAGGAACTCTAGAGGATTTTCTCTGTAAAAATGCATATTATATCTCGAGTATAATGATGTAGATATTTCTAGTTGATTAAAAGGTTCCCTACTAGATGATTATAAGGAGATGCAACTATATCCATCTTGAGTGAAAGGTGTAAATATTTTTCCAACGAGGATCGGCTCACTTGGTTACGTATCTTTTTTAATGTGTCACTTTACTTAGTGCGCGATCTATAAGTTTCTATGTAAATTTATATCGATGGCAGTTGGTAGTTATTGTGAGCGTAAGTCATTTTCGGTTCGATGTTCTATGCCCTGGTGCTGGTGATGAGAGTAAAAGAAAGTAAAAAAAACTTGAGAAAACAAAGTGAAAATTTTATTTTGTTCATTATAAATTATGGTAATTTATTTATTTTGGCTTTTATTGCTTAGATCATCTCTATTGAAAAAAATTATAGGAGGTGATCAACAAGCTTGAGACGAAAGTCATAAGGCAAAAATAGTTTTGTGGACTCACATGATTACTTTTTCAAGAGCTTGTTGTAATCTTTTTTTTTTTTTTTTTTTTTTTTTTTTTTGGGTCAATGTTGTAATCTAATTATATGCCACCAAACAAAACCAATAAGTACTCCAACTTGGCACAGTATATAGCCTAATTATTTTTTCAAGAATAAAAATATTACAAAAAAAAAAAAGATTCTTTACGGCTTACATCGCCAAAACTTACAAAGAGAAACTATTACATAAGAAAAATTACTAAACTAAATACAATATTAACTATAATCAGTATGTTTTAAATTAGCAAATTGTTATTAATTATGTGAACTTCTCTAAAAATAAGATTAATCGGATAATAGGAAGGAAATTGTTATTAGCACTTCAAAAATCTCATTTGACACTCCAAACTTTCTATAATTAGAAAGAAAAAAAAACACACTTGTGAGAAGTGTAAAATGAGATTTTTAGAGTGCTAATAACAGTTCCCAATAGAAAATCATATAGGCTGCCCACATGTTGTTTATTCAGGTATCATATATAACTCACTTAAAGTGAATATTTATGTTCACCACTTTCAAATCGTTAGATGATCAGTTTAAATTTCGAGATGTGTACAATAGATAAACACAATCTCAGAATTTAACTCATCCAACGATAACAAATAAAGTGATTAACATTACCACTTGAAGTGTTGGTGAGAAAAAAAGCACCCCCTAGCTTAACTGTTATGGACGTAAAGAAAGTTGCACGCCTTCCATGCAGCTATTAAATTATTGATTGAAATAAAAAAGGGAGAAGCATGTGGTATTTAGAGTTCACCATAATTTAGGGCAATCATGTGGTATATAGAGTTCTGTATAATTTACGGAAATTTTCTTGGACCTGGATTATCTGCCCTCCCTCATCCTATCCTCTTTCCATCCCTTCCTATTTATGTGATGACGGTTAAGCCACGTCAACATTTTATATTGATTTTTTATAGAAATAATAAGATAAAAAAACAATGGGAATATAAAATATTAACGTGACTTAACCGTGACCACATAAATAGAAGAGGATGAGAATGGTATGGGATGGGGAGCGCAGACAATCCATGTCCAATTTTCTTTTGTTTGACATGTACTTAACTTTTTCTTTGTACACCGACAGAGAACCATGCATATGCAATCCATGCAATTGTCAAGATTGCGTGGAGAGACACGATCATTTTCAGCCTTTCACTTCACCACGTTGCAACCTAGCTAACTAAGCAATACGTTACCGACTTAAATATCATTATAATTAGTAATGCACGATTAGATTATGTCCTTTCTATGTGCATTACAAAAACATGTGAGGAAGCTTTGCAAATGACACATTTCAAGTAGGAATTTGTAAATTTGCTTTATATGTCTTTGTTGCCCATGGCGTACGTTCTACACACTCAAAAAGAAGAGCTAGGAAGAAGAAATACACGAAGAATGAAGATAAAAAATTAACTTCGATTTGAAAAATAAATAATAAAAACTTTGATCCATGACCGCACGATTTGCATCAACAGCCACAGTCATGTGGTTCCCAGGATCCGCATAGAGAAGGACTTCCATTAAGCATGAAACTATATAAGACGGACCCCCTTTCCGAGATACCCTAACCCTAAAAGCGGCTCTGTGTCAACATCCTCCTCCACTCGATTTGATCGCATTCTCCTTGCTTTCTTCCTAACCCTGGTTTGGCTTAACAATGACAACTCCAAGAGATATTATAATATTAGTAGTTATATTCATCGCCTCTCTTTACATATACGGTATATGATATACCTACATACAAATTCATGTTTCAGTTTATCTATTGCATGAATTCGGTCGCGCGCTCTCACACCCCTGTGTTTTGCTGTTAGTATTGTTTTTTTTTTTTTTTTTGTTTTTTTTTTGTTTTTTGGTAAACTGCTGTTAGTATTGTTTGTGTATATTATGAAATATGTACCATTTTGTTTGGTCAAGGATGATTTGGACTTAAACCTCCAAAGCTGACTAAACCCTAATTTGTATAAAGATTTTTAGATATATGTGTGCGCTCGTGCTTGTGCATGTTTAATTGTTGCTATAATGCTATGTAGATATGTATATTGTTATAAACTAAACCAAGAACCAATCAAGCAATAAACAAAACACAACGATTTCAGAGTTCCTTTAATATAGGAGTAGCTCTCTAACAACGGAAACTTTATTGATTACCAACAAATATAAGAGAACTCACAAACACAAAGTGTTCTCAAGTATACAAACTTATGCCTCTCACAACTTTCACACATAAAACTCTATCCCACATCCATCTATTTATACTAATAGATGTCATAGGTTTAGACAAATTCCCTAGAATATAGGAAACCAAATCCTATACTAAAATCAAATCCCAAACCAACTAGGAAACACAAATCCAAATATCTTGTGTCCAAGATATTCTAATCCTTTTTAGTTTAGGCATGTTGATTTAATCCCAAATCCAACAATCTCCACCTTGGCATGAAATCCATAACGAGATATCAAACAACTCCCGTTGCTCCACCATATCGCAAGATCAAACTTGCTTCAACTGCACCAAATCCAAGCAGTGCTTGAACTTAGTTGCATTAACCACT